CTCGAAACCGTAAATGAATATGTTATTTTCTAAAGGCATATTTTGATACAGGACGCGATGGTGTGAACGGACGAGATGGATTCACTGGAATGACGGGTTTTACTGGAATGAGGGGGTTCGATGGTAGGGATGGTTTTACCGGATTTACTGGTATGACTGGAATGATGGGATCAGCTGGTGCACGTGGTTTTGATGGAAGAAACGGTTTTACAGGATTTACTGGAATGACTGGTTTTACCGGATTTACAGGTCAGTTATAATTGGGTATATTGTATCATGTGGTCCAATAAGAACCCTTGTAATTGGATATAAATTATCACGTGGTCCGATAAGAACCCTTGATGGATATATTTTGTCACGTGGACCGAGACAAGAACCATTGTGATTGAGTATATTGTTATCACGTACATTGTATCCTGATTGGGGATACGGTCCACTTGGCCGATAATGGCAGCGACCCATGTCCCAATTGGTAGGCACGGCAAGTCAGTGGAACAGTCAGGTTCTGTCCCGATGTTGGCCGAGTGTAAACCATCATGTGGTCTAAGAATAAAACCCTGGTGAGTTTTCCCATCCGGCCGAGTACGTTTCATCATGTGGTCTAAGAACAAAACCCTGGTGAGTTGTCCAATCCGGCCGAATATGTTTCATCATGTGGTCTAAGAACAAAACCCTGGTGAGTTGTCCAATGCGGCCGAATATGTTTCAACATGTGGTCTGAGAATAAAACCCTGGTGAGTTTTCCCATCCCACTCTCATGGTTTAGAGATGTCCACGCGACTGTTCAGGGTTTTTGTCTACAACACTAGGGCTGTCCCGATCGGTGTGTACCGTTAGCTCAGACTAGAGAGTAACATAGGCTAGGTGGCGTTGGCACCGGGTTATCCGCAGTACCGGGTTATCCGCATATTCCTAAAGCAATAGTCCGAGAAATCCCACTCTGCTCATTGCTGGATTGGCATCTGATACTTGAGCTTTTGAGGGAGTGTGTCTATCCTTCCCGTTCAAACAAATCTATCCCACGTACAGCAACATGACAGCCTTTCGTTTAATCTGGGGTCTTCCCTAAAACCTTGGACAGTGATTTAAGGTATTAAAAACGGTGAAAGTATTGTTCGTCTCCAAACAGTATTGTTTACATTGTATTCGTTTAGATAGCTTCGTTTGTCACGCATTTAGTTTTTCTGCAATATTCTGCTATGCACTGGTTAAATGGGCATAATAAAATCGTGAGTGATGACGTAACGTTATGTAAACATATTTGGTCCAATTTGGAGCTCTGTTTAAAGCGTAATGATATTGTTACGCAGTTAGCTATTGGTTGTTAATCGGACTATTGACCAGTCATAATTTGGAACATAAATTTGCTTCCACTGCAGCAGTGTTAATTATTTATAAACGTGTTTTCCAGGAATGACCGGTCAACGTGGTTTTGATGGTAGACAGGGTGACCGGGGTTTACAAGGCGATCGAGGCTCCAATGGACGCGATGGATTTGCTGGATTTACTGGAATGACCGGAATGACTGGAGTCGTGGGACGACAAGGAGATCGAGGCAACCAAGGTCTGAGAGGTTTCGACGGACGAAACGGTTTTACCGGCATGACGGGTGAAACCGGAGTAAGAGGTTTTGATGGACGAAATGGTTTGAATGGAATGACTGGTAAGTTTATATTCCATTGTTTTAATTTTCCATACCAAATGGAATGTTTTAGCTTCAAATGACATTTGAAACAACCATTATCGGAACACAATGGGTCAAAGGCCATAAAAGTTGTTCCGGCGTGGTTCCCCCTTGTCAGTGATGCAGGACGGAGGGCCTGACAAGGACAGCTGTCTAGTCATTCGGATGAGACGAAAAACCGAGGTCCCGTGTATACATTGGAATGCACGTAAAAGATACCTTGGCAGTTGGAATTCGATATAAGAGTAGGCGATAGTGCCGCTGCCCGGGCAAAATTTCCCTCATAGCACACTGTATGGCGTATGCCCGTCTTCATTAGCCCAGTATAGGAGCAGAACAGTAGGACGTTAAACCCCATTTCATTTCATTTCTTAAAAGTTGTAAAGTAGGAACCTTGTCTCGAGCAAGAAAGCTTTGTCCATGTCCATGTTCAGTAAAGGTTCGTTCAATGACAAAGTTTGCTTTAATAGTAGTTGCCTATTGATGTTATTGAATAGGAAGTCGCGGGGATTCAATAAGGCGCTGGCTCGGTGGCCTGGGGGTCTAGAGTTCTAGAGTTCTCTCCCTATATTGCCTATCTATATTAAGCAACACGGTGGGCCTTCTATTGTGATGAGGGAGCAACGGTGGCTAATTGGGTAAGACGCTGGCTCGCTAGCCTGGAGGTCGCGTGTTCAATCCCTGCATTGGCCGAGAAAGTTCGTCGGGATTTTCCAACGTGGTTTCCCCCCTTGTCAGTGGTGCAGGACGGAGGTCCTAGAGAAGACAGCTGTGAAGTCGTTCGGATGGGACGAAAAACCGAGATCCCGTGTTTACAATGGCGTGCACGTAAAAGATCCCTTGGCAGCTGAAATTCGATATAAGAGTAAGCCATAGTGCCGCTGCCCCGGCACTTGTATGGCGTATGCCCTCTTCATTAGCCAAATCGGAGCAGAACAGTAGGACGTTAAACCCCATTTCATTTCTATTGTAATGAAAAACTGTGTCGAATAAAATTGTTTTCTGATAAATAATCTTATCCTTAAAGATACATTATGGGAGATAAGATAACGAGATGGCAGTTCTCGCTATAATATTTAAAAACTAGATAGTGTAAAGGTAATTTGCTGAAAATTTCAGTCAAATTGATCCACTATGAGCCGAGAAAGAAGTGGGTGAAATTTTGGCATAGTCTCGGTCATCATTACTAAAATCATTAATATAAACAGCTTAGTCTCGATTATCCACTTTTTTAATTTAATTATCAACGGCCGTTAGCGGCATATAGGAATCTAATCCAGCCAACATCGAAGGCTAGCCTTAACATCGAGAGTTTATTATGGTCTGGATAAGTTAATTAATGTCTAATTGATAATTTAGATAACATTTCAGGCCTAAAGAAAGACTTGTAATAAGCAGATTTTGCTCTTGCATAATGTATGTTTCACCCACAGGTTTCAGTGGAGAAACGGGTTACACTGGTTTTACTGGATTGACTGGTATGCCCGGTCGTCAAGGTAATCAAGGTAGTCGTGGTGATATTGGTCCCAGAGGAGATGTCGGCTACACGGGTTTTACAGGCATGACCGGTATGACTGGAGTAGAAGGCCGTGCCGGACGAGATGGATCGCGAGGATTGGACGGACTTAATGGGTTTACAGGATTTACTGGTTTCACTGGTATGACCGGTCAACAAGGATCTAGAGGAGATAGAGGTAAGATTCTACGTTTAGAGGTTTGACAGGTCACAGGGATCTAGAGGGGATAAAGGTAAGATTCTACGTTTAGAGGTTTGACAGGTCACAGGGATCTAGAGGGGATAGAGGTAAGATTCTACGTTTAGAGGTTTGACAGGTCACAGGGATCTAGAGGGGATAGAGGTAAGATTCTACGTTTAGAGGTTTGACAGGTCACAGGGATCTAGAGGGGATAAAGGCCAATGACGGATCAACAAGGATCCACGGGAATACGTTTAGAGGTATGACAGGTCCACAGGGTCGCGAGTTGTCACCCGATGTTGACACGGTTACCCTTGTCAGCGGTGCAGGACCTATCATTGAAGTCTGTCTAATCGTTCAGATGGGACGAAAACACGGGGTTCTGTGTATACAATATGGGGGAACGTAAAAGATCCCTTGGCAGTTGGAATTCGATATAAGAGTAGGCCATTGCGCTGCTGTCCGGGCGACATTTCCCCTCATAGCACGCTGTATGGCGTTTGCCCGTCTTCATTATCACAGTTGGAGCAGAACATTTGAATGTTAAACCCCATTTCATTTCATTGGCTCGGTTTAGTTCAGTAAAGATGTCCGTTCAACCCAATTTCATTCATGTTTTGAATTGATATTAATGTGGGTTTATAATTCACGCGTTCCGTACAGTGTCTGCTCCTGGAGATGTGATCATATGTTTAGAACATTCCGGCTTGGACTGCGAACAAAATCCCGCTGGGATGAAAGTGTCGGTTTTCTCGATTGTCGGTTTTCTCGATTGTCTGCGATATCACCGCTGTGGAAGCAGACGTTAAACGATCGAATTATGATGATGATGATGGATTGATGCTTATAAAGATTCTTTGGACGAATATTGGTTCGGTAAGCTGTCTAGTCGTTCGGATGGGACGAAAGACCGAGGTTCCGTGTACACATTGGCTTGCGCGTAAAAGATCCCTTGACGGTTGGAATTCGATATAAAAGTAGGCCGTAGTGCCGCTGTCCTGGTAAAATTTCCCTCATAGCACACTGTATGGCGTATGCCCGTCTTTATTAGCCTAGTTCGGAGTAGAACGTTAAACCCCATTTCATTTAAAAATGTTTCTGAACTTAATGATGTATGAATTATTGACCTTGTTATTTACAGGTGAAAAGGGGTCAATAGGTGACCGAGGAGCGAATGGCCGGGATGGTTTAAATGGTTTTACGGGTTTTACTGGATTTACTGGTATGACTGGATTGCAAGGTGCTCGTGGGTTTGATGGAAGGAATGGTTTTACTGGCATGACCGGAATGACGGGATCTGTTGGTTCACGTGGTTTTGACGGAAGGGATGGATTTACAGGTTTTACAGGAATGACTGGTTTTGCCGGATTTACAGGTTTCACTGGAATGACCGGTCAAATGGGTAATCAGGGCTCGCGAGGGGATAGAGGTGACACTGGTCAACCTGGACGAGATGGTTTTGCTGGAATGACCGGTATGACAGGTCGACAGGGTATTCAAGGCTTTTCTGGTAGAGATGGATCGAATGGATTTGCTGGTATGACTGGATTTACTGGTTATACTGGAATGACTGGCTACACTGGATTTACGGGGATGACTGGACAAAGGGGTCCCGGGGGTCAGCGTGGTTTAGACGGTCGAGATGGATTAAATGGTTTCACTGGATTCACAGGATTCACTGGAGAATCTGGAAGACAAGGATTTTCAGGACGCGATGGAATGACCGGAATGACTGGACCAATAGGAAATCAAGGGCCTTCGGGTATCCGAGGCTTAGATGGTCGAAATGGGTTTACTGGCTTCACCGGTTTTACTGGTATGACTGGTCAGCCTGGTCAGGCTGGTCAAGCTGGTCGTGCTGGGTTCGATGGACGAAATGGATTTACAGGAATGACTGGTTCTCAGGGACCTTCGGGTAGAGATGGTTTTGCCGGTATGACAGGTTTTACTGGATTTACTGGTATGCAAGGACAACGTGGTGACCGTGGAGACAGAGGTCTAGTTGGGTTCAACGGTTTCACTGGAATGACTGGTTTTACTGGTTTCACTGGAATGACCGGTCGACCTGGTGATCGGGGCTCTGATGGATTGAGAGGGCTGGATGGTAGAAATGGTTTCACTGGAATGAGCGGTATGACTGGCAATAGAGGGCTGGATGGAAGGGATGGTTTTACTGGATTTACTGGAATGACTGGTCGACCTGGTGATAGAGGAGATCGTGGTTTGGTTGGGGCAACCGGTTCTAAGGGTGATCGTGGTAATGCTGGTTTGGCGGGTCGAGATGGTTTCGCGGGTTATACTGGTTTTACAGGATTTACTGGTTATACAGGAATGACTGGTATGACAGGACCACCCGGACTACAGGGTGTTCGTGGTAATAATGGGTGAGGATTCATATATTTTACTTCCAGACAAGCTAGCAGAGCCTGTCCCAGAATTCTATAAAATTCTACAACGCGCCCCTTTTATGTAGCCAAACACTATTCTGTATGCAGCGATGCACTCTTTTATGTAGCCAAACGCGACCCTTTATTCAGCACCCCCCCCCCCCCGCCCTTTGTTCAGCCAAATGCGCACCCTTTGTGCAGCCAAACATGCCCCCTTTGTGACGCGAAACGCCCCACCCTCTTTGTGTAACCGAACCTGCAAGTTAATCCCGCCTACAAAATTTTATGTGATCCTGAAATAAAACCTAATGTGCTTATATTTGTGAAGCACTAACTGGGCTGTTGAGGACGAGCATACGCCATGAGTTGTACGTGACAAGGAGTGGGGTCGCCTGTCGAACCTCGTGGGTTTTCTCCGGGTCCTGTTTTTTCCACTGCTAAAGACCCTTACGTGTAATGACCAGAAATGACCTAGTTCATCGGGATTTTCTGGCGTGGTTCCCCCTGTCAGTGGTGTAAGGACAAACGTATAGTCACTCGGATGGGGTTAAAAGTCGCGGCCCCGTGTACAAATTGACGTGTACGTAAAAGATCCCTTGACAAATGGAATTCGATATAAGAGTAGACTGTAGTACCACTGTCCGGGCAAAATTTCCCTCATAGCACACTGTATGGTGTCACAGTAGAACGTTAAACCCTGGTTCAGTTCTGTTAGTCGATCTTGGTTTATTTTCCAGCTTTGATGGGCGGAATGGTTTTACTGGTTTCACCGGATTTACGGGTTATAGTGGATTTACCGGATTTACGGGTTTAACTGGAATGCCCGGACCACGCGGTGATAGGGGAATTCAAGGTGAACGTGGTTTTGAAGGCCGTAATGGTATGACTGGCTTTACTGGAATGACTGGACAAAGAGGTAACGATGGTTCCTCTGGTCGAGATGGATTTGCTGGTTATACAGGATTTACCGGATTTACAGGAATGACTGGGCCGAGAGGGAATGATGGTGGAAACGGACGGGATGGATTGAATGGTTTCACTGGTTTTACTGGATTTTCTGGTGTAACTGGAATGACCGGTAGAGAAGGTTAGTAAACCTAATGAATTATAACTATGGACTAGCAGAATATTCGGCTTCGCCCGGCCCCAAATTCGATGGCCTAAAACATTCACGGTTTCATGTATAGAGGTGGAACAAGGCGACAGCCGGATACCCTGCTAAAGACCCCTGCGAATTATTGAAATAAAATTGAATCATGTGTTAGTCCCGAAATGACCTAGTTTGTGTTGGGTGGACGTTAAACCCTCTCTCTCTCTCTCTCTCTCTCTCTCTCTCTCTCTCGTGTTGCTTCCCCTAGTTTGTTTTCCATTTTGAGTGAAGCATGTATTACTAACAGGCCCTGGGATGTACAGCGCAGTGTATCCATTCACTTCATCTGATATGTGCCTTTGTTTGTGGTGTCTGTATGTGTCCTGTTCGTGGGTTTGTATTTTGTAATTGTCTGTCTGTGGTGCGCCCCCCCCCCCCCTGCACCTTATCACAAGTAAAGTTTGCACTATTCAAATTCTTTTGATTACCTGACATAAGCAAGCGGGGATTCAAAATCGCGCCACTTGACTCAATGACGCGCCCCTTTCCCACTCAACTCTATAGAGACAACTAGAGCGATAACTTGGGCCAGGATTTCAAAAGCCATTATTCACTCCTTGTATTATTGAAATGAATGCTGGATCAGACACCATTAACAGAAATCCCATCCTGTATTTTCAGGTCCCCGAGGATTTGATGGTGTGACCGGGCCTTCAGGCCAAGGATTCTCTAGTAAGTAATTTTACTGATTAGCGTGATCGTCAAGGTCAAGTTTTCAGATTTGTAGGAACATGCAGTATTTAAGATTTTGAAAAAAGAACTGGCAGTTCTTATTATACTTATAATAGTTTAAAGATACATTATGTAAGATTTAGATAAAGAACTGGTCGTTCTCGTTATAATAGTTTAAAGATACATTCTGTAAGATTTAGATAAAGAGCTGGTCGTTCTTGCTATAATAGTTTAAAGATACATTATTATTATATAAAAAGCTAGCCATTATATTTAGCTCTTATATAATGCATCTTTAATAAGCTATTGTGACCCTCTTTCTTACATTGGGTAGGTTGTTTTTTTTTATCTAATTAGGAAAAGGTCGATTTATGATTCAACTTGCTATTAAATGTTCAAGAAAGAAGCCATGACAGTTCTAACATATTTAATAAACAGAGTTAACTCCCCTGATATGATGCACTTTATTAATAAGGCAGTGGCTATTGTTGCGACGAGTCGTAAAAATAGTCCTCAGGCTATTGTTACGACGATGCTTTCACATCCCTCCATCGGCGAAGTAAAAAACTGAATAGTCGTAAAAATAGTCCTAACCCTTCCCATCTCTTAATTGCTGCCTTCAGTTCTGAAAACGTTGAAAATACTACTCCTTTTTCAAAGCTGGTGTAGGGGAGATTGGAAGCCATTTTGGAATTCGTTCTAAACTTTGCTCAGACTCGTCCTAACAATAGCCACTTTGTATTAATAATAGGCCTACATCAATGATGCACAATACAATTAAATAATACTAGGAACGATATCAAAATACTGATATTGTAACATTAAATACGTTGTTTGTATTTGATATTTTCAGCTATTAACTTTTGTAATGAAACGGAGGCCAGATTTCGAGCTTGCGATCAGATTTGTGTCAATTTTTATGGAAGTTATGAATGTCGATGTAGATTGGGTTATACACTCAGTTCTAACAAACGATCTTGTGATGGTAGGGATATTTATGTATTACACCCTTATATTTACCCAAATCTACCCCACCCAATACCACCCAGTCCGGATTAAAACCTTGAATATAGAAATCGGGTGTGGTTTAACGGCCTACGTTTATGTACCGACCGTGCTAATGAAGGACTGATACCAGGCCGTGAGCCATGAGAAATTTGGACTGATACCAGGCCGTGAGCCATGAGAAATTTGGACTGATACCAGGCCGTGAGCCAGGAGAGAAATTTTTCCCGGACAGTGGCGTTTCCGCAAAGTCTTCATAAATGCCAACTATAAAATTGAATAACGCCTTTCTAAAAACTCTCCAACCTCGTGGGTTTTCTCCGGGTCCTCCGGTTTCCTCCCACTGTTAAAGACCCCTACGCGCAAGCGAATTATTGAAATAAAATTAAACCATATGTTAGTCCCGAAATGACCTAGTTTGTGTCGAGTGGACGTTAAACCCCATTTCTTTCTCTCTCTTTCTAAAAACTCAAGCGGCAGGCTAATGGCCATTTGACTATATCGTTCCGGGTTTAAATCTCAAAATGAGCCTAGCAGTAGACTACTTTGGGGGGGGGGGGGGTCACGCCCAGTTCTCACGTCAGACCCTCCAAGCGACACCCTAGGCTATACTCCTGGCCTGGAGAACTCCTGTCGACACTCCTGGCCTGGAGAACTCCTGTCGACACTCCTGGCCTCTCAATCCCCAAAATAGTGAGAATCGAGTGAAAATGGGAATTTCGGGCTACAACGCATGCCCCGACTGCATAAGAATATATCTCAAGCAACCATGACATTTAAAAAGATATTCGTTGTTTAATTACGTCACGATTCCAGTCGCATCACCTGTGACGGGGCTGAATCCCAGGTAACTCGATTGCAATTCCATCAATTTGGGGCGTTCCGAACTAACAATCGACCATCCCCTCTGTGTTTTAACAGACATAAATTTTATGACAGTTTATATTGTCAGTGTTTTAACAAATATATAAATAAAGAGTCAAGGGGAAAAGGCAAAACAGACTTTTGGAGGAGAATGCTTGACGCGAACAGAACAACGAGTGGGTTTAATTACAACTTCAAAATGATGTTTAATACGAATCATAATTACCAGTACAACAACTGACTTCAACTTTTCAGCCAAATTAAGTTCAAATAAAGGGTACGATGGACTTATATTTGTCCGGGAAGACATTTCAGAAAGGCCTTGGTTCGATGTGACTCAGATCGTTTTTACCTGAAATTGATTGTTCCACAGAAAGCTTATACAATTTGCTACCAGATGGCGCCATTAACTGGGGTTTGTTGAAAAAGTGACTTAGATCGTTCTTCCCCTGGGCTCTTCAAATGTAATGACAGTTATATTGTCATTGATTTTAGCAGATATAAATGTACGCTATTTTACCGAGATTTTGCCTAATAGTTTGGATGCAGCTATGGCGGGTGTGGTGCCAGGCACGGTAAGCTTACTCTTCCGGACACCTGTTACCACTGTTTGTCGTGTATTTTGTACACGGTGAACAGTCCATATGCTGATTACACTATTTTGCCTATATCGTTTTTTTAGGACTTCGAATTTTGTCTAATGGTTTGGATTGTTCGTACTTGGTTTTATTTTATTTGATATTGATTAACAGATATAAATGTTATGAAAATGTATATTGATTTTAACAGATATAAATGAGTGTGATTTATATGGACCGTGTCATCAAATCTGTAATAATAATCAAGGTAGTTATTCATGTGGTTGTTATGCAGGGTTTTACCTAGATCAAAACAGAAAAACTTGTAGAGGTATTTATCAATTTATATTTGTCACCCGATTGTCTAGCTTGTTGTGGGGTTGGATGGCCGAATGGTTAGCGCGTGCCCGTTGTATCACAAAGTATGTCATTGAGTTAACTGACGTGGTTTCGATTCCCCCGTGGTATGTCTCAAGGAGTAGGGTCGACTGTCCAACCTGTAAAGGAATATGCTCTAACGTAGTGGGGTTTATTTATAGTGTCTGTAAAGGAATATGTTCTAACATAGTGGGGTTTATTTATAGTGTCTGTAAAGGAATATGTTCTAGCATAGTGGGGTTTATTTATACTGTCTGTAAAGGAATATGTTCTAACATAGTGGGGTTTATTTATAGTTTCTGTAAAGGAATATGTTCTAGCATAGTGGGGTTTATAGTGTCTGTAAAGGAATATGTTCTAACATAGTGGGGTTTATTTATAGTGTCTGTAAAGGAATATGTTCTAACATAGTGGAGTTTATTTTATTTGTATTGTCTGTAAAGGAATATGTTCTAACATAGTGGAGTTTATTTTATTTGTATTGTCTGTAAAGGAATATGCTCTAACATAGTGGAGTTTATTTATTTGTAGATATAAATGAATGTAATATAACCTGTCTACCAACAAATCCACAGAATTCCCAGATCTGTATTAATGTACCAGGATCCTACTTCTGTATAGCGTTACAACCCTCAGTTCAAAGTCAAAGAGGTTCGTATTCTTCATTCAGTTTCGTTTTTTTATAGTTCAAATTTTCGTTCTACTTGTCTTTATTACACTAGAATCTTGAAAAGTTGTTATATAACCCACGTTCTGGCGACGAGTTCTTCGAGTGCGGCGCTGTGGTTATCCTACCAGAAACACCAACGCTGATTGGTTAATAAATATCTGGCGTCATAGGGTCAAAAGCTGCTCGTATGACCCCTGACTCGACCTCCCACTATAACTGGTCAGATCTTCATGTAGTAGAGGCCATCGAAAGTATAAAAAAACGAAACGAAATATAGGTCTGTATTTTAATCAGATTTAGGGTGGGTCGGGTCTTCTGTGTAGCGTTGCATCCCACAGTCCGTTGTATAAGGTCTGTCATTGAGTCAACTGGCGTGGTTTCGATTTCCCGGTTGTACGTGACAAGGAGTAGGGTCCTCCAGGTTCCTCCCACTGCTAAAGAAATAAAATTGAACCATATGGATTACGTCGAGTGGACGTTAAACCCCATCTCTCTCTCTCTCTCTCTCGCTCTCTCTTGATGATTGATCAAGTTATTCTCGTTACATCGCCTGATGGATTGCTTGCGAGAACTTTATACAAAACAGTTCACCAACTACCCTGTCCTAAGAAAGTTCACCGACTATCCTGTCCAGTGAAAGTATTATGAATGCAGCTTAATTTCACTTGAAACCCACTGCCCCTGTTACAAATGACTAGGAAACTAGGGCTATACACCCAATCGTTCTGATCTATATAAATCTTGTGAAAGTATTTTCGGAATCGGAAGTTCATCATTGACTTGGGTACAAATTGTCAATTTCATATTTTTATGTTTTTCAGATAATCCGTACGGACTCCGCGGTAATACATCTTTTCTACAGTATGATGGTTCGGAGGGAGCTGACAGACAGGAATCACCAGGAATTGGTTTATCCCGTCTTGTGTTAACAGCCATCGTCGGATCATTAGTCGGATGTGTGTTGGTCATATTTGTAGTTTTAGTAGCGTTAGGTATAAGAACAAGTCGACGTAACAGCTCTCAACAGGCACAACAACGTATGATGATGGGTGTACCCCAAGAACGTATGATGGGTGTAGCGTTTGAACCAGCCGCCACACCAGGAGCACCACCAGCACCACCAGCACCAGAACGTGAACCATTCAGTGGACAGTCTTACGTCAGACATCCTCACGAATCGCTGCGGTTATGACGTCATCATTACACATAGTAACTGAATTGTTGTATTAATAATAATTGTATATTTGTTAAAACATAAAAAGTGCTATGTGTGTGTTAACCGTCTTTGGTCTTTTATTTCATGTAATGGCCGAATGATTAACGCATGCGCGTTGTATCGGAGCGTCAGTCTGTCATTGAGTTACGTGTTGTGGTTTCGGTTCCCCGATTGTACGGGGAGGTTGGATGGCCGAATGGTTAGTGCGTGCACGCTGTATCATAAATCATGGCGTGGTTTCGATTCCCCGGTTGTACGTGACAAGGAGTATTGTCGCCTGTCCAACATCGTGGGTTTTCTACGGGTTCTCCGGTTTCCTCCCACTACTAAAAGACCCCTACGCGCAAACATGTTAGTCCCGTAATGACCTAGTTTGTGTCGAGTGGACGTTAAAGACCATCTCTTTCATTTCGTGGCCGAACGGTTAACGCCTGTGCGTTGTATCAGAGTCTGTCATTGAGTCAATACAGTCTCACACAACAACTTTTCGTCTACGAATGAATTATTAGTGAGCAGAAATTCCCCCATGTATCTGTTATCACCCGTCACCCCAGTCAGTTATATAGAGGGATAACTCGTGTTTTCCTTTTGTGTTCGTCACTTCCGATTGTTCAAGCATTGATAACCCATCTATCGTAGCAATGATCTTTGTGATAAAATAATATTTGGAACGTGTTTAAACAGTTCTATCACATATGTGATAATGGCTGGCACCAATATTGTCTTTTAATTACATCTCGGCGACCTTGACGGAAATTGAGTTGACCTTAACAAATAGATCTAGCCCATTACTACACCTCCAAACCCCCCTTGACACACACCTGACGCCCGTTATGAGATGCCACACCCGTCACCCCACCCACACCGTCCTGAACCCACGGATAAGACTCATCCCTGCGCACTAAATGTTTATTTTAATTTTGTATAAACCACATCTTGGTGAATAATACTAATATTTTATTTCTTAAAACCAACTTGATACAATGTAATTCTATATATAGTATATAATATTCATTTCTATAATTACCAGTTACTAAAGAGACCCATTAGCCGAATGATTCGGTCGAATCAATCGGCGCCGAAATTCGCCTAGTGTGTACAGTGTCATTCTGCCTGGTGTGTCCGCTTCGCTGAAGCATTCGCCCGATTGTAGAATCAAACCAATAACCGCTGATATCGAGAAGCCACTTGACTGAAGACATGTTCGCTGTCATGTGACGTGAATGGTGACGCAATCGACTGTTAAATAGGGCGGGGGATTCGCCTTATGTGTCACTCATTCGGCTGAAAAGTAGATAATTTCCTAACTTTGATGCAACATGTCGGGCCAATAATCAACTCTCTAGAGCATCGGATGGTTGAAATTTTCAACGGATTTATATTCCCTTTTCATTATCTAATTTTTACCTATTGTAACGAGAACTGTCAGCTCTTTATCTCGATCTTACATAATGCGTCATTAAATAGCCTATAAAGAATTATTTGGACAGTTTATATCGCCGTTGACAACTATTCTTATTGCGAAAAAAAGTTCGTCAACGTAAAGATTCACAGAATACAGTCGGAGATACAACTAAACGGGTCTATTAATTGACAATCAAGGCTAAACTGGTTCAATCTAATTAAAATACAGATCTATATTTCGTTTCGTTTTTTTTATACTTTCGATGGCCTACACTACATGAAGACCTGACCAGTTGTCCTGGAGGTCGCGTCAGGGGGTCGTACGAGCGACTTTTGACCCTTTGGTGTCAGACATTGGTTAATCAATCAGCTTTGACGTTTTTTAGTGTTTACTCACAGTTCCGTGCATCGCACGCCAAGAACTCGCCGTAACAGACCGTTTCATTGGCTAATCCCTTACTTCAACCAGAACGCCGGTAATATAACAACTCTTTCAGATCCTAAAACGATATTTTGAACTATAAAAAAAACGAAACGAAATAGGATCTGTGTTTAAATCAGATTGAAACTAGTTAGGACTAGTGTGGTTGAATCGATATGTAACCTTCTCAGTCGGTGTTAAGAGTTTTGATGGTATAATACGTCTTTTGTTTTTTGATTTTATAACTAAATGGAAATTAATTTTCGATATCCTGAGAGAATACAAAGCAGAAACCAATTTATTAAAAGCGAATTTATGTGAGCAATGCCAAAGAAGTCAACACGAACAGAGCTAAAAATAGAATAAACAGCAAACGATCAACAACGCGGGCTATTTCTGTCCATTCGGAACCATAATGGCGTGGTTCGGTTTCAGACTGGTATTTGCCTACTAATACGCGGACGGATTTCGGCAGGTCTTTGGAATCTAGTTCCTGCCCTTCTTTCAATGCCGTGACATCAGAGTCGGTCTCCGTGAACTCATTTTCCGTCTGCTTCATGGCGGAAAAAGAAGTGAAGCGGTCGCCTGGTAGAATCATATCCATACACAACCATCTTCTTAAACCACAACGTCCCAAGAAAATCTGAAAAAAAAATATTCATAACCTTTAGTGTGAATAATGGATAGGTAATTGAAAAACCGGTGGCTAAGGCCCTGCATTGTTAGACGTGCAGACACGGGTGGCCTGACAAAGACATTCGGATGTGACGAAAAACCGAGGACCAGTGTAAACATTGGCGTGCACGTAAGAGATACTTGGCAGTTGGAATTCGATATAAGTAGGCCATAGTGCCGCTGCCCGGGCAAAATTTCCCTTATAGCACACAGTATGGCGTATGCCCGTCTTCATTAGCCCAGTATAGGAGCAGAACATTAGGAGGTTTTAACCCATTTTATTTTATTTAACTGAAAAACAAAAGGAATATTGGGCCTACTTATTTGTCTTGGATTTCTGTATGTTAGTGTGGGTGTGGCTTCCCGGTATTTACCCTCAGACTGAGGAGGGTTTCATCCAACATTTCAAGACATGTTGTGGTGGAGAAATGGGGTTTAAGGTCCACCCAACACCAACTAGGTCATTTCGAGACTAACATAAGGTTCAATTTTATTTCAATATTTCGCTTGCGTGTAGGGGTCTTTAGCAGTGTGTGTGTGTGGGGGGGGGGGCGACCCTTTTCCTTGTCACGTACAACCAGGGAATCGAAACCACGCCAGTTGACTTAATGACAGACCTTATGATACAGGGTCGTGTTTTTCGAAATCTTAAAGTAGATAAGTCTCTAACTCAATATCATCCAAAATCTTCAACATTGAAAACACGAATTATTTGTCAATTTAAAACAACATTGATGCTGTGATCTTACCGGGAAAAGATGGGCTTCTGATATCCAATATTTAAGACAAAATAAACATTTTACCATTGGTACACGAATCGTGTACCATAATGCGTTTCAGCCCCAGTTCTAGTAAGAGACTCGAGGAACGAGGCTAGACATATTGCACCAAACCAAACGGCGTATGTAGACTGGAATAACCAGACGCTAGGAATTTACATTCGATTGAGACTGCTGTCTTATTTCACGGAACATAACTGATTTGAAAAAAGAGTAAAAACGGAAACGATTGAATGTAAATCAGTTTATATACATTCATATTACAGTATTATATGAATTGCGACCCACTTGTGTCAATTTCTAGGTCCCAAATGTTAGCGATTTAGCTCCTTTAACTAAAGATAAAATCCAAATTTTAGTAGATACTTCAGTTTTGATTGGCTAAGCACTAAAATCAATATAATATTATCCAATCAAATGATTAAAATTTGGATTTTATCTTAGTTAAATTTTCGTGAAACAGGCCCCTGGTTACTAAAGCCTACAGTGGCAAATCTGGCTGAAAACTATTTAGAGGTTTTTAATTATAAACTACGTATAGCCACTTACAGTACTAAACCAGGCTGGTACAGGTCGTCTAGAAGGTCCTTGTCTGGCAATAGAGGTAACAATGGCGGACATGATAATACTTAATGACGTCAAAACCATGGTAACGGCATAATATATAGCTGAAATATAAACCAATTAATATTTCAACATTTGTCATTGACATTACAATCTAATTAAAATACAGATCTATATTTCGTTTCGTTTTTATACGCCCACATTTTCATGTGGACGTATTATGCCGTCGCCCCTGTCCGCCCGTCCACAATTGTTTGTGGACTCTCTACAGGTCACAATTCTTATCCGATTTCGACGAAACTTCAAATATAGGTTTATCCCCAAAAGATCTCGCCTGCTTTCGATATTGGCATGTATCGGATCGAAATTTCATGGATTATGGCCCCTGATTGTACGAAAAATCACGTTTTTAGCTTGTGGACCCTATAGAATTCATAATTTTTATCCGATTTAAAAAACCGTTCTATTATATCACCGTTACACCCTAAGGACGACTGAGTTCGAATTTCGTGAAAATCGCACCAATATTGATAGACAAAATGGCCGCCGTTAGTTCTCAAATAGCGTAAGAATATGGTATATCAAGGTTGTGGACCCTATAGGGGTCACAATTTTTATCCGATTTTGTTGAAACTTGAAATGTAAGTTTATAACCCAAAGATCTCGGTTCCTGTCGATATTCGTGCATATCGGACTGTAATTTCCTGAATTATGGCCCATGATTGTACGAAAAGTCGCGTTTTTAGCTTGTGGACCCTATAGAGGTCATAATTTTTATCCGATTTAAAAATCTGTATTATTATATCACCGTTACACCCTAAGGACGACTGAGTTTGAATTTCGTGAAAATCGGCCCAATATTGACAGACAAAATGGCCGCCGTTAGTTCTCAAATAGCGTAAAAATATGGTATATCAAGGTTGTGGACCCTATAGAGGTCACAATTTTTATCCGATTTTGTTGACACTTGAAATGTAAGTTTATAACCCAAAGATCTCGGTTCCTTTCGATATTCGCGCATATCGGACTGTAATTTCCTGAATTATGGCCCATGATTGTACGAAAAGTCGCGTTTTTAGCTTGTGGACCCTATAGAGGTCATAATTTTTATCCGATTTAAAAAAACGTATTATTATATCACCGTTACACCCTAAGGACGACTGAGTTTGAATTTCGTGAAAATCGGCCCAAAATTGACAGACAAAATGGCCGCTGCTCGTTCTCAATTAGCGTAAAAATATGCTATATCAAGGTTGTGGACCCTATAGAGGTCACAATTTTTATTCGATTTTGTTGAAACTTGAAATGTAAGTTTATAATCCAAAGATCTCGGTTCCTTTCGATATTCGTGCATATCGGACCGTAACTTCCTGAATTATGGCTCCTGATTGTACGAAAAATCGCTTTCTTTTTAGCTTGTTCTCTATCCATCTCTCGAAAATTTGGGCGTATCCTGCCTGGCAGCCGCTGGTTTATATTTTCGATGGCCTACAGTGTGGTGAAGACAAGTAAAACGAAATTTTGAACTATAAAAAATAGGACCTGTGTTTTAATCAGAATGTTGACATTTCTAAATTGGGAGAAAAGAGAGGGAAAAACTGGGTTTAACGTCCACTCGAGACAAACTGGGTTATTTCAGGTCTCAAATATGGTAGGCCTACTATTTTATTTCAATATTTCGCTTACGCGTAGGCGTCTTTAGCAGTGGCTAGGAACGGGAGGACACGGAGAAAACCAAACTAGATTGTGCAGACCACCCTACTCCTTGTCGCGTACGAGAGTGGTGTCGAAACCTCGTCACCCGACTCAATGACAGACCTTATGATCTAAAGCGCACATGCGAGACCCAGTACCGGATTTTGATCGAGAGTGATTGTTCATGCCTTAAGGGTCATTGTATGTATTCATTGAGCTTGGTCGCCGGGAAGACATTCCTCAAGGGGTTAATCACTTTGAATTGCACATGACTTTTTGGACCAAATCCGAATTTTGGAACCAAACCCAACAATAAGGGTCATTAAACCCTAGCACACGGTGTGTGTCAGTGTCGCTAAAAATAAACCATTATCTCGTTAACAACGCGAGATTTCGTCAATTCACCATGGCCGGTGTTGTGAGGAATGTCTCCCTTGTGAAAATTTTTATTCATTGTGTGTTTCCATCAATTATCTCCTGTTTTTCTACTTTTGTTTCAATAATCACAGCTCTTCATTATTGAAGTTACGTTCTGTTGTTCAATCGACCTTGACCACAAAATACAAACCCCATCAGAATTCAAATGGCTGCTTGTAAATCATAATATTGAAATTCACCGAGATACAGGCGAGTAAAGTTAAACAGATGTAAACAGTAACAGAATACTTTATTAACAGAATTAAAGATACATATGGGAGATTAGATAAAGGGCTAACAGTTCTCACTATAATAGTGAAAAACTAGATAATGTAAAGAGAATTTGCTGAAAATTTCAGTCAAATTGGTCCACTCTGAACCGAGATTTTAGCGATTGAATTTTCGGACTAGCCTCGATCATCATTACTAAATTCGGTAAGATAAAAAAACATAGTCTCGATTATCCATTTCATGATTATATTATGAATGGAAGTCGAACAGCAAATCGGAACCTAATCCAATAAACATCACAGGCTAGCAATGCCATCGAGAGTTAATTATGGTCTGGATAAGTAAGAAAGGCTAAGGTCGATGTTAAAAATATCAAACACCTTGGCCACAGCCCCCACCCCTCCCGATTTTGAGGCCTTATCAGCTTCCCAAGTCTGTGGGTAAATTGTCACTGTTTAGACCACTCGACCACCAGAATTGGAAAACACATCTGCACTGTTTCATTATTAGATTTTACAGACTGTGGAGACTTCCAGACTCATTAGTGTCAAAATGTTATTTCTCGGTTATTTGACCTTACCTATATTTGGTAATGTTGCTCTGCTGACTCCAATAATATCAACCAGCATCTTCATAGATAAACACATAGTCACCATTATCAGTCCACCTACAGATAATAAATATAACATAAACACATATTATAAATATAACATAAACACATATTATAAATATAACATAAACACATAGTCAATATTATAAATATAACATAAACACATAGTCAATATTATAAATATAACATAAACACATAGTCAATATTATAAATATAACATAAACACATTATAAATATAACATAAACACATAGTCAATATTATAAATATAACATAAACACATAGTCAATATTATAAATATAACATAAACACATTATCAGTCCACCTAGAGTCACCATAGTAATCAACATACAAATTTCACGAATATACAATGGGGCTCTAAGCTCCTGTTTCATGTGATTCCAAGCCGAGCATACTGGCAACTAAATACCATATATAACAAAGCCCCCATCTTAGAAACAGCTCCTGCTGACTGAGGTCGATAGAAAAATGAAGGGAAGAGAAATCGTCAAAATGGATCCGTAATTTCGGGAGAAGGGTTGGCTCTGAGAGCCGAGCGACCGCTTGTTAACTTCTGAAGACGGAATCATATGTTGTTAGTTAGTTGTATTTTACGTCCGCTTCCACCGAGGTGATATCGCAGACAATTGGAATCATATGGTGGGATACCCTTGAAAACCGTGGACCATAAACAGGATGTACAAGGTACACTAATCTACTCTTACCAAGTGTGATTTTATCAGATGTATTGAGTCTATACTAATCGGTACTTTAACTTCCAATACATTATATATGATATTACGGACAAGTTGATTTGATTAGATTATTGTATATATAGAAAAATTGGTAAAACATAAAAGAAAAGTTCCTGTATATAAACATGCCACTTTAAAACAAGATGTTAAAATTCGCTGTCATGAGAAGAGAGGGGGACGGTCATCTTCTCCATTCGTCATAATAAAATCAAGTTAAAACAAGAGGTCAAACTGATTAATGTTTGGTATTTTCAGTGAGGATAGAAAAAAAACGTAGGGAAAACGAATTCGCTCGCTTTATGTGGTGAGGGGGTTGGATGGCCGAATGGTTGGCGCATGCGCGATGCATTATAAGGTCTGTCATTGAGTCAACTGGCGTGGTTTCGATTCCCCGGTTGTACGTGACAAGGAGTAGGGTCGCCTGCCCAACCCCGTGGATTTTCTCCGGGTCCTCAGGTTTCCTCCCACTTCTAAAGCGCGAATTATTAAAATAAAACTGAACCATATGTTAGTCCCGAAATGACCTAGTAAAGCAAGGTACTTACCTAATGTAATTTTACCAGATGAATCAGATGGTAAGAGGAAGACGACTGGTACTAATAAAGACATAACAACTGCTGGACCTAGTATCACACATTGGTAGAAAGTAGATCTTCTAGATAGTTCTACAGACACTGCTACAACTTCAAAAGACTCCGGATGCATCACTGTCAAAATTTCACCCTGAAGAGTCTTGGTGGAAACTAACCATTGGGAATTCCTGTTAATCTGTACGGTATCGGTCTGGAATGTCACCTCACCCGTAGGGTTCAGGAATTTCAGATGGACTTGTTGAAGGCTGTAGATGTTGGAAGCCAACTCCAGGTGACAGACGTGGGCATCAAATGGAAAAGCGGCGATGTTTAAAGGGCAGTAACTCCTGATGTTAGCGTGGGTTGACCACGTGACGGTGCCATCATGGTGTAGAGTTACCAGTTCGTTATCGAAATGTTTATACGACCCGTATTGACTGAAATAGAAAACGAATGAGTAATACAAGGCCCTACAAGATGGCAGGGATGCGAAGAGGTGGCGGGGGTAGCATGCATTACGCTTTCGTGGTTATTAACGGTACAGGTCAGGGGCGGATCCAGGATTTTCAGAAAAGGGGGCGGACTGACGGGCAATCAACCAATTCACAAACCGACTCGTTTCGGAGTAAATTACTTTTTCCTGTCTAAACTGACTGTTAATTCCTTTCCCGCGAGATTATATGGGGTAAAAAAATTGTTCGCCATCGCAAAAATAGGGGTGGGGTGGGGGTGGCTGGATCCGCGCCTGGGTTTCGTCTACTATACAAATCGTGAGAGCTGGGTTGAATGGGTGCTAACTGGTACCGAGATAGACGATAGAGAAATGAAAATGAAATGGGGTTTGACGTCCTACTGTTCTACTCCGACTGGGCTAATGAAGACGGGCATACGCCATACAGTATACAATGAGGACAATTTTGACCGGAGAGTGGCACTACGGCCTACTTTTGTGGCCTGCTGCTATGGTCTACTCTTATATCGAAGTCCAACTGTCATTCAAGGTTTGTTTTACGTGCTAGCCAATGTGTACATGGGACCTCGGTTTATCGTGCCATCCGAATGACTAGACATTTACAGCTAAATGTGTCAGTATTTTAATGGAAAGCTTACGTGTGGATAAGTTTGAGCTCTGGTTTCCAGACTTTAGAAGCAGGAACAGTGATGGTATGTAAACCAACGTATTCAGTGGTATTCCAGGACAGACGTGGATCCTGCCATGACTAAAATAAACAAAATAACTCAACTATTAAAAAATACAATTCATATACATGTCATTAGGGGTTTAAGACGGATGTTTTAGAAAGGAACAGTGTCCTGTCGTTTGGATGACAAGAAAACCCTAGGTCCCGTAAAAGAATCCTTAACAGTTGAGGGGGGTTGGATGGCTGAATGGTTAACGTGTGCGCGCTTGTATCATAAAGTCTGACATTGAGTCAACTGGCGTGGATTCGAGTTCCCGGTTGTACGTGACAAGGAGTAGGGTCGCCTGTCCAACCTCGTAGGTTTTCTCCGGGTCCTTCGGTTTCTTCCCACTGCTAAAGAACCCTACGCGCAAGCGAATTATTGAAATAAAATTAAACCATATGTTAGTCCCGAAATGATCTAGTTTGTGTCGAGTGGACGTTAAACCCTATTTCTCTCTCTCTCTCTCTCTCTCTCTCTCTCTCTCTCTCTCTCTCTCCCTCCCTTAACAGTTGCGATTTGATGAAGGGGGAGAGACAGAGAGGGAGGCGCACACACACCAACACAAACACTAGGTCATTTCGGGACTAACATATGGTTCAGTTCTATTTCAATAATTCGCTTGCGCGTAGGAGTCTTGAGCAGTGGGAGGAAACCGGAGGTTGGATAGTCAAACCTCTACTTTTATTGAAAATAACCACTCGATACATACTTTCGGGACAATGTATCTTTAACCATGTTTATAAAGCTACAGAGTATGGGTTGTAATAATAATGGACGTGTGTAAGACATACCGTATATAAGGCTACAGATGATTGGAGCTCTTCGTTCACTTCATCCTAAAATATGAAAAATCATCAATTTATTGTGAATTTGTCTGTGGTGTCCAGAATATTGTATATATGACTTGAGATTATATTAGATAATAACAGACTTGGCATCACTGTGGTTATTTTGAGAATAACATACGGTACACAGATAACTAAGACCATTCCCCGAGTTCACAAAGCATTCTCAGACTTAAATTAAGAATTTACTCAACTTTCAGTCACTGTTTATGAGAAATATCTTTAATCCAGAAACACAAAACTTTGCACATAGTTTCTTATTGATGTATTTGATACATTAAAACAACAAAAGTTTAGAAAGGGCTATATTTTAGTTAAATAATGTGAACAATTTTTAAGTCTGAGAATGCTTTATGAACTCGGGGCCAGATATAAACGGGGCCACGATGCCTCAGTGAGTAAGACGATGGATCGCTAACCCGGAGTTCCAGTGTTTGATCCCGGTGTTGGCCGAGAAAGTTCAGCGGGATTTCTGGCGTTGTTCCATCTTGTCAGTAGTGCAGGACGGAGGATCTGGCAAGGAACAACGTGTACATATTGACGTGCAGGTAAAGGATCCTTGACAGTTGGAAGTCAAACTAAGAGTAGGTCGTATTGCCGCTGTCCGGGCAAACTTTGCCTCATAGCACACTGTATGGCGTACTGGAACATGTAAAGAACGTTGTATTAACAACACCAAACACTCGTTGTCGGTTCTTGTCGATGACTAGTAAGACGGTTTTGTCAAAATTTCAATTATTCTTAAAGATACATTATGGGAGATTCGATAACGAGTTGGCAGTTCTCACTATAATAGTTAAAAACTAGATAATGTAAAGGAAATTTGCTGAAAATTTCATTCAAATTGATCCACTATGAACCGAGAACTAAGCAATTGAAATATCCGCCTAGCCTCGACCATCATTACTAAAGTCAGTACGACAAACAGAATAGTCTCGATTATCCATTTAATCGTTAAATAGTGAAGGAAAGTAGTAAATCGGCTCATAATCCACCAAAGATCGCAGGCTAGTGATGCTATCTAAGAGTTGATTATGGTCTGGATACGTTAATTAATGTCTAATTAATAAGTAAGATAACATTTCAGGCCTAAAGAAAGACCTGCAATAGACAGATTTAGCTCTTGCATAATGTATGTTTTAATCAACGACAATTATAGCACTTTGGGGTTTTGTTGTCCAAATTTAAACTATCCATAATTTTGTCATGATTTGTAGAATGTGCATATCTATACCATAGTTTTTCTTGTCGGTCACTTTTTGCAATACTTTGGTCGTTATTGGCGGTTCTGATATAGGGTAATAACTACTGAAGATGTAATTGGGTGATTGAGCAGATAACTCGCGACTAGAATAACGCGCATGTGAATCCAGGGGTGGGCCTAGAAATTCTCGGGTTTTATTTTAGCCTGTCGCCTACTTGTTTGCACGAGACGAAAACCCGAGTTCCAACGTTTAGACGGAAAGGCCGTTGTCGGGGCAAAATCTCTTCACAGGCATTGCTCACATGACAATACAAAACAAAAGATACGGTATTTTTTAGTCTCAAACGTTGGGTATCATTATTTTCCGTTTATTCGACATGCGGTGCGGTGTAAGTTACAGAAATACAGACTTACCAATCCGTGTATAGCAGTAATAGTTACGTCTACGGTTACTAGTACGGTGTCGTTAGACGCAGATGCTGGACGTAAATCTTTGATATAATAATCATCGAGTAGATGTAAATAAAGATGTGATTCGTTGTCCACGTGAATTTTAACATCGTCTGAATGTGGATGACCTGTAAGATGAAGAAAATGTTGGTTGTATTCTATGGACTAAAAGTAAAACTAAATACATTATGGACTAAAAGTAGACATTGCTTCCCTGGATGTAAAATGGAGGAAAATGTACGTTGTGGTCTAGTATGATAATATAAAACTATAGCTAAGGCCAATAGTCTCCCCTGGTTTATACAACGTCACGTCTCACGAGTGATTATTTTACGTTTGAGCAAAGCTGTGAAAAGCTCAGTTATACCTGTCGTGTCGGGCTGAGACCGTGTTGAAGCAGGGAGAGTGAGTTCCCTTGGGATGTAGGGAAACGAGAGTGAGTTCCCTTGGAATGGGCGAGGAAGAATGCGAGGGAGAGAAATAATCAGAAGCCTAGTAATTGAATACATATGGTATGAGTATCAACACCACAATACCCCTAGTTTCCTAAACATAAAATCCCAACCCTAACCCTCTTCCAAAATTAAATATACATTAGTTAAGAGTTTTATAAAGAGTTGGCCATTCTTTCTATAATAATTCAAAAATAGATGATAAAAATTTCAGTCAAATTACTTTGTTCTGAACGGAATTGTCACTGTAAGAAGTTTGGACTAGAAATAGGCATCACTTGTATCCTCACCGTCTATGAAAATTGGCGATTGTTTGATTGACAAACAATAACTCCACCCACATATTCTCGATTACCAAGTAACATGCTCAATGGCTATGGTAGCCTCGCTTGGCAGGATTTTCATCACCAGTTTCCGGTTGTGACATCGGCGAGTAACGGTAAACCTTAGCTTGGTCCGCCATTTATTGATTAAATTTTAAGTGGACGAGGCTGTTTAAATCTAAACCGTATACAAGCCATCCATGGGTCTACAGAGTTGATGTTAAGCTTGTCGTGTAAATAAAGGTCTAATTAATAATTTCTATAACATCTGAAACCTAAATAAAGAGAGAGAGAAATGGGGTTTAACGTCCACTCGACACAAACTAGGTCATTTCGGGACTAACATATGGTTTAATTTTATTTACATAATTCGCTTGCGCGTAGGGGTCTTTAGCAGTGGGAGGAAACTGGAGGACCCGGAGAAAACCCACGAGGTTGGACAGGCGACCCTACTCCTTGCCACGTACAACCGGGGATTCGAAACCACGCCAGTCGACTCAATGACAGACTTTATGATACAGCGCGCGCACGCTAACCATTCAGCCATCCAGCCCCCCCTAAATAAAGACTTGCAATAGGCAGATTTAGCTCTTGCGTAATGTATATTTAAGCTTGGTTTGCGTCTGAAAAACCCACGAGGGCAATATGCTTGGTTTGGTTGATATGTGCTACTACTAGTCTGGGTATAACCGGGAAGCGCTTAATCCATGAGGTCCTCCTTACCCCCCCCCCCCCCACCATCACCAATCTGATTGGAGCCATGATTGCTTGGTGATTAAGACGCTTGCTCATTAGGTGGCCCCATGCCAGATGACCTAGCAAATAACAGTGTCTAGTCCTGCAGATGGTACAAAAAACCCGAGGTCCCAGTCAGGGACACAGTATAATGTTCATCTTCAGTAGTCTCATTGTACAGAAAAGTAGGGACGTTAAACCCCATTTCAATTGAGTTTTCATTTTAGAAAAAGAGAGAGACAGGGAGAGGGATATGGGGTTTAACGTCCACACGACACAAACTAGGTCATTTAACGTCCACTCGACCTTATGATAAAACGCGCACGCGCTAACTATTCAGCCATCCAACACCCCAGTTTTCATTTTAAAGATTGCTGATCGAGGAGGAAGAACTTGTTGATATACGCTAGACACCGTTCTATTTTTAAATATTTAAACTACTGATGCTTATTGTAAACGCGACGCCATCACATATTGTACGTGCCTCAACAAACATGTTACACAATGGACACCATTTATCTTGAACCGACATGTTTATGTATTTAATAAAAAACGGTTAAAAAACTTTCCAAATTAACGACTGACACGGGGGCAATTAATCAATTCAATTTGGTTATAAACAAACTTGTCATTCGCCAATTTAGACATCATGTAAATGACGTTTCTTAAACATGTGATGTAAATGACGTTAGGGCATCTTGGACATGTGATGTAAATGACGTTAGGGTATCTTGGACATGTGATCTAAATGACGTTAGGGCATCTTGAACATGTGATGTAAATGACGTTAGGACATCTTGAACATGTGATGTAAATGACGTTAGGGCACCTTGGACATGTGATGTAAATGACGTTAGGGCATCTTGGACATGTGATTTAAATGACGTTAGGACATCTTGAACGTGTGATGTGAATGACTTTAGGACATCTTGAACATATCATGTAAATCACGTAAGGATATCTTGAACATATGATGTAAATGACGTTAGGACATCTTGAACACATAATGTAAATAACGTTAGGACAACTTGAACATACATGTATAATGTAAATGATGTTAGGACAACTTGAACATATAATGTAAATGACGTTAGGACAACTTGAACATATAATGTAAATGGCATTAGGACAACTTGAACATATCATGTAAATGACGTTAGGACATCTTGAACATATAATGTAAAGGACGTGAGGACATTTAGTTTATTATTTCTAATAATGCTATGACTCTCTAACCAGGACGAAAAACCGAGGTCCCGTGTTCACATTGGCAGGCAAGTAAAGGATCCCTTGGCAGATGGAATTTGATGTAAGAGTAAACCATAGTACCGCTGCCCCGTCAAAATTTCCCTCAGCACAATTAGAGCAGAACGTTAAACCCCATTTCATTTCATTTTCTATCCAGGCGGTCCCGGGCTCGATCCCCGATTTGGCCCAGAAAGTTCCTTGGTATTTTTAAGCCTGGTTTCACCTTTTAACTGATGAGGAACAGTGTCCAGTCGTTCGGGTGGGACAAAAATCCACGGTGCCGTCTACTCGTTGACTTGCACATAAAGAACCCTGACAATTGAAATCATCCCGGTTGGTGCAGAAAAAAGGGATGTTAAAACTCCATTGCATTTCCGAATGGTTAGCACGTGCGTGCTGTATCATACGGCCTGTCATTGAGTCAACTGGCGTGGTTTCGAATCCCCGGTTGTACGTGACAAGGAGTAGGGTCGCCTGTCCAACCTCGTGGGTTTTCTCCGGGTCCTCCGGTTTCCCCCCACTCTTAAAGACCCCTACGCGCAAGCGAATTAATGAAATAAAATTAAACCATATGTTAGTCCCGAAATGACCTAGTTTGTGTCGAGTGGACGTTAAACCCCATTTCTCTCTCTCTCTCTCTCTCTCTCCATTGCATTTCTTTCTAGAAATATTGATTACTGAAAGTGACATGGTTTTTTGGGGGGCGTGTTTTTTTGGGGGACACCCAGTAGCCTATGTAAGTTGGTTTTTAACTTTAATTACAACCCCTCCCATTACATGTAGAGTAAGAAACGATTTGAGGGATTTGAGGGATTAACATAATCCAAACTCAACACTGGAGTTTTGCCAAATAAATCAATCTATAAATAGATCCATACTTTTGTTGGTTTTTTGGGGTTTTTGTTTTCTTTTTTAAAAGAATTATTTTCGATGTGACATTTATGTACAGATGACGGGGGTAGGGAGGGGGGGGGGGGCGGAAAGCAGGGCTATGGCTCTCTAATCAGGAGATTCATCTATATTTCTTTTCGGAATGGCCACCATTCCAAAAATCGGTATATTGTTTTGTAATGTGATTCTGCTCTGTTTCACATCTGGCACACACACAAAGACTAAATAAAACAATTTAATTCCATTAAATGGAAGTAGAATAAATACTTCTCAAAATTCTCGAAGAATACTTGGTGTTTTTGATTAAAATCGTCGATGTAGGTCAACTAGCTTAGTGAGCTAACTGTAGATAGGCAGCCTAAGTTTAGTATAGCGCGTGTTTAATCCCACTGTTGGTCGTGAAAGCTGCTCGAATGTTTTCCGACCTGTACCTTAGCGTTCACTAGCCTCCGTAGCACCACGGCCTTAGACAAATTGCCCTAATAGCACTTGATTAGCCGGGATGGGGCAGAGACGGTAAACCCAGTTAAGCCCGTCGTACACGAGCAAATTTTCTTTGAAAAATGGAGATTTGTCAAAGAAATTTGCTCGTGTACGAGAGGAAATTTGCCACATTAATTTTCATTTGCCATATGAGATTTGAAAAAGAAAATTTGAAGAGACCGTCAAAGAAATATGTCAAATTGTCTTTGCTCGTGTACGACGGGCTTTATCAGGCCATCCATCGTGCACCATGGAAAATCACGATGAACTTGCACGGCCAATGCAGGGATCGAACACGTGACCTCCAGACTAGCGAGCCAGCGTCTTACCTACTTAGCCACTGTGGCTCCATTTCATTTCAAAGAAAGGGAACACCATTCCCACACGTTCCTACAACACTACCCAATTGACTAAGTGTAATAATTTTTTTTAATCCGTGAAAATTTTAATCTATTTATATAGAATAAAATAGAACCGAATAGAAATAGAACCGAATAGAATATAGAATAGAACCGAATACAATATGAAATAGAATAGAATAGAATGGAATAGAATAGAAATAGAACCGAATAGAATAGAATGAAATAGAATAGAATACAGAATAGAATAGAATGAAATAGAATAGAATACAGAATAGAATAGAAGCGAATAGAAATAGAACCGAATAAAAATAGAATAGAACCGAATGGAATAGAAATAGAATAGAATTTTATTGTGTCGAAACGTCCTTTGAGTACAACATACAATATAGAAAGTATAAGACAACATGTATATGAATTACTATCTGGGTCAGACAAAAAAGATTTCACCGGCTTGTTTGTAGAACATATCACGGTTGTAAATTGACAAAAATAATCTAAAGATTTATGCATAATTAAAATTGTTAAAACATGAAATAATCAAAACATATTTACCTGTACAAAATAAAACAAAACAGGTAACGAAGCAAAGTAAAAATGGCGGCAACGCTTCCATCTTGCTGTGATTAAATGTATTGTTCTTCTAGACAACCTAACGTAGTGAAGTTTAAAATCGGAGTGGCGTCTCTCATTCACTCACAGGAAATACGCATTTCAAACCGAGGACATCAAAAATCAACAATATTGTTTACTGCAGGTCCACAATAAACAAACAAGATACACATAAAACGTCACGATTCTACACAAGTTTTACGAGGGAGCAGAAAACAGCGTGTACTTCGTCAGGTTTTTTGGGGCATTGATTATTGAAATAGAAATAGAAAACCCCCCAAAAAATCCCTTTGTTTTGAATTCAAATTTGAATCAACGTTAGAAAATGTGTGTCTTTTGTGTGTTCTGTAGCCAGTGGAAACTTTAAAAATGTGAAAAATTCACAAATATTTCATCACAGAAACTGATAACTGGTTATAAAATTATTATGTTCCACCGTCATGAATTGAAAATAATTAGCATAATTGTTTCTATAGTTACTACCAAATTCATAGATATTACAGGAATTCCAAAGAACACAGTAATTACACACAAATTACACAGAATAACACATAAACCGCACACAAAATAATATGAATTCAGTATAAAACAGTAACCGCACACAAAATATTATGGCATCAGAACAACACAATAACCGCACACAGAATATTATGAATTCAGTATAACACAGAATATTATGAATTCAGTATAACACATAAACCACATACAGAATATTATGAATTCAGAACAACACAGTAATTACGCGCAAAAATATACTGTTTCTACATTTTACTGTCTCCCCGTAGTTAAAAAATATTTTAAAATGTTAAAACTGATGTTATGACATTTTACTGTCTCCCCGTAGTTAATAAATAATAAAGTTTATTTTAAAATGTTAAAACTGATGTTATGACAAGTAATAATGTCAGTTTGTGATGAAACTAGTAAATAAATGAGAACATAATGGTTGTCCTTGCGTAACACCATGTACAGGACTGGTTTGGAGATTGAGAGAGAGAGAGAGACACACACACACACACGCACAGAGAGAGAGAGACACACACACACACGCACAGAGAGAGAGAGACACACACACACACGCACAGAGAGAGAGAGAGTGAGAGAGAAAGAGCTGTGATTTAACCTCCACTCAACACAAACTAGGGAGGAAACCTGAGGACCCGGAGAAAACCCACGTGGATGGCCGAACGGTTAGCGCGTAGATCTGTCAATTGCCATGGTTTCGAATCCCCGGTTGTACGTGACAAGGAGTAGGGTTGCCTGTCCAACCTCGTGGGTTTTCTCTGCATCCTCCGGTTTTCCTTCCACTGCTAAAGACCCCTACGCGCAAGCGAATTATTGAAATAAAATTGTACCATATGTTAGTCCCGAAATGACCCAGTTTGTGTCGTGTGGACGTTAACCCCTATTTCTCTCTCTCTCTCTCTCTGGTTATTTTGAGACTAACATATGGTTAATGTCTCATAAACACAATACTTAGGTTATTTTGAGACTTACGTGGATTAATTTTGTTTCTATGGCCTCGTATGCTATGCTTGGTTGGAGTATTTACCCGGACAGGATCGTTTCCGCGTCGAATTCAAACTGTCAACGGTTCATTTATGAGCACGCCAATGAGTACACGTTTTGTTGTCCCATCCGAACAACTGGGCCCAGTTTCCTTGTCAGATCAATGGGGAGAATCGGGCACTGAAACTCCTGAAGGTTCTTATCGGCCTACGATGGGAGTCGAACCGAGAGAATCTAGTCGAGAAGCCTGTGTCGTATTACGGATTGAATAAAGATCTGGGCCCTGTTTCTCGAAATCTTAACTAAAGATAAAATCCAAATTTTAGTAGATACTTCAATTTTGATTGGCTAAGCACTAAAATCAATCTAATATTATCCAATCAAATTACTAAAATTTGGATTTTATCTTAGTTAAAATTTCGTGAAACGGTCCCCTGGTTTTTTATGTCCTTACAATTATGTCCTTACAAGAAGCCATGGTGGCGCAGTGAGTATGGCGCTGGTTTGCTGACCAGTAAGTCCCAGGTTCGATCCCGGTGTTTCTCGGTGGTTTTCCGGTGTGGTTTCCCCTTTCCAATGGTGCAGGACGGAGGGTCTGGCAAAGAACGACAACTAGTCGTTTGGATGGGACTATGACATTAAACCTCGTCTCATTTCTTTGGATTTTCATTTCTGACCTTGCATAGGGGGTAATGTGGTCGAATGGTTAGCGCGTGTGCGTTGTATCATTATGTCTGTCATTGAGTCAACTGACGTGGTTTCGATTCCCCAGTTGTACGTGATAAGGAGTATGGTCGTCTGTCTAATCTCGTGGGTTTTCTCCGGGTCCTCCCACTGCTAAAGACCCCTACGCGCAAGCGAATTATTAAAATAAAATTGAACCATATGTTAGTCCTGAAACAAAGGCGAACCATGTGTTAGTCCCGTAATGACCTAGTTTGTGAAGATTTGGCGTTAAACACACCCCCCCCGCCTCTCTCTCTCTCTCTCTCTCTCTCTCTGACCTTGCAGAATGTAAGCCATTACCCTGTTAGTCGTATGGACCAAAAACGCTAAACCCCATCTCTCTCTCTTCTCTCTCTCTCTCTCTCTCGGGAGCCACGGTGGCTAGGTGGTTAAGACGCTGGCTCGCTAGCCTGGAGATCGGGTGTTCGATCCCTGCATTGGCCGAGAAAGTTCATCCTGATTTTCGAACGTGGTTTCCCCTTGTCAGTGGTGCAGAACGGAGGGCCTGACAAGGACAGCTGTCTAGTCCTTCGGATGAGACGAAAACCCGAAGTCCCGTGTATACATTAGAATGCACGTAAAAGATCCCTTGGCAGTTGAAATTCGATAAAAGAGTAGGCGATAGTAGGCAAAATTTCCCTCATAGCACATGTATGGCGTATACCCGTCTTCATTAGCCCAGTATAGGCGCAGAACAGTAGGACGTTAAACCCCATTTCATTTCATTTCATTTCTCTCTCTCTCTGACCTTGCATGTAAGCTATTAGCCCTGTTAGTTGTATGGACCCAAAGCGCTAAAGACAATATCATTCTAAGAATTATAAGCTTATCCGACCTCTGACACTTACAGGACCTCTTACCTTCACCTGACCTGACCCCTAACCCCTGCCTGACCTCGAACACCTGCCTTTGTTCACTGCAAATTAATTGCAATACATGAGTGGTGGAATGGTTCTGGCCTTGGTTTTAATCACGAGAGAGAAAGAGAGAGAGAGAGAGTGAGAGAGAGAGAGATGGATTTAACGTCCACTCAACACAAACCAGGTCATTTCGGGACTCAATTTTATTTCAACAATTTGCTTGTGCGTAGGGGTCATTAGCAGTAGAAGGAAACCAAAGAACCCGGAGAAAACCCACGGGGTTGGACATGCGACCCTACTCCTTGTCACCTACAATTATACCGGGGAATCGAAACACCACCAGCTGACTAAATGACAAACCTAATGATACATTGGAAATATTGGTCAAATTGTTGCGAACTCTAGTATACTTGCCCTTGAATTGCTAAATGTCAATCAAAGAAATACCAAAATGTAATGATTTTACATTGACATCATCGGGATTGACCCACTGCTTCAGTTTTTTTACAAAACAGTGGGACATTTTATTTTAGCAGTGCCCTGCAATCGGGCTAAAGCAAGGTATACACCATTATGTTATGAAAATGTGATCCTATAAAAATCTACAGGCTCGTGTCCCCATATAAAAATATTTACAGGCCCATGTCTCCATAAATATATATAATACAGGCCTGTGTATTCATAAACATCTACAGGCCCATGTCTCCATAAATATATCTACAGGCCCATGTCTCATAAATAACTACAGAGAGAGAGAAATGGGGTTTAACTTCCACTCGACACAAACTAGGTCATTTCGGGACTAACATGGTTTTAATTTTATTTCAATACTTCACTTGTGCGTAGGGGTCTTTAGCAGTGGGAGGAAACCGGAGAAAACCCAAGAGGTTGGACAGGCGACCCTAACCCTTGTCACGTACAACCATGGATTTGAAACCACGCCAGTTGACTCAATGACAGGCCTTATGATACAGCGCGCACGTGCTAGCCATTCGGCCATCCGACCCCCTAAATAACTACAGACCAATGCTTCCATAAATCCCTACAGGTCCATGTAAATAAATAAAATGTATAAAATAAACTGATAAATATTTTTATTGAGTTTTTCATAGAATGTTGATAATATGTACAAATGTCTGTAACTTCTTCAATATCTAATCATTAACATACAAATTGGCCATGTTCAAACAATTAAATTAAATGTTCTTAAACCATGCAGATGACATTTTTATATCGGTACAATGTTTAGGTCTTGTAACTTTGTGCTATGTTTGGTCTGTAAGTATGAGAATATCTTCTGAAAGATCTGATAATTAACTTACAAATTGTATACTTTCAAGGATTATACATTTAAACATACATTATGCAAGAGTTAAATCTGCCTCTTGCAGGTCTTTCTTTAGACCTGAAATGTTATCTAAATTATTAATTAGACATTAATTAACTTATCTAGGCGATAATCAACTCTCGATACCATCTTATCCGTCCGATTTCCATTGGATTTGAATCTAAACTGCTTTTCAACGTCTGCTGATGATTAAACGCAAAAATGGATAATCGAGACTTTGTTAATTATTGTGAAAGGGGCAAGGCAACAATGACAATCGAGGCTACAAAGATTTTAAAATGCGTTTTCTCAGCTTAGAGTGAAGCAATTTTTCTGAAATTTTCAGAATATTCCCTTTACATTATCTAGTTTGTAACTATTATAGTGAGAACTGCCAGCTCTTTATCTAATCTTCCATAATGTATCTTTAAATGTTCTTAAACCAAATATATGGTTCACTCAAGTAGGCTAATAATAATTAAAATACAAATTGTAGATGTTTATGTCTACTCATTTAGACTAATGTGTGATATCAGTAACAGTGTATGTATTTTGTTACACTGTCCTATGTATATACATTAAAATAGTAAACATATCATCTAATTCAACACTGCCATTTTCAAAATATTACATGTATGCCAAGATTCTCTATGCATCATTAATTGTGTTTTCAGAAAATATTAAATTGCTCTAATAAAATAAGTGTATCAATAGTCGATCACTTGCCGGCTTGGATTCAATTGGACTAAAAGATTTTAAACGAAGATTATCTGTTGGCGATGATTTTTCACAACATCCTATATATCGTCTACAAAGAGACTTGATGTTTACCAATTTTACAATTCGTCATATCTTTGTAAATACAAAATGGAATTGAACCATTCTTTGTAAATACAAAATGGAATTGAACCATTCTTTGTAAATACAAAATGGAATTGAACCATTCTTAGAGTGGTATTCCTGTTAGAGATTCCACTTTCACAGTATTGTTGTTTGCAAGTGATTAATATTGCTTAAAATGGCACATGGGAGGTGTAAGGAAGTAAGCTGCAGCGTGTGATCAAGAATCAGATTAGTGGTCTTAATCCAAAGTTGATAACAGGAGTTACTTCCCTTGTGTTTAGCAAAACTCATAAAATTCGTATTCACTTTTACAGATCAGAGAGGAAATCGGAAAGAGTTTAACATGAGATATCAGACTTTGATTTTGAATTCACGATTTACCCATCAATCAGGGGTCAAATCCACAAAAACTTACAATTTAAGGATACTATCATTTAATTACGTTCAGGCCCCAAATTCACAAAACATTCTCAGGCTTAAGTAGGGTGACCCACCATAAATAAATATCTCCATATATCTCGACAATTTCGCCACAATATTTATATACATACCAAGCCTTAAATCAGTTTCACACAATTATAGTCACTAAATAAACGATCATGTTGTACTTAATAAGCTATGACCATTAATCATCTATAAATAATAGACTGAAAACTGGTTCCATGTGTCGTCCCTAACATCCAGACACTTTTGAGTAAAAGATAGGTTACGTGCCCTTGTTTTGAAATTAGTCTCGCTTAACCAGTCTATCGACCATTCTAGGGCTGATTGACAGGTCGGGATAATCAAGACTACTTTTTTACGAAACATAACAGAAAGCTAGAACAAGAAATTGAATTTAGAAATGAGCACGTTAGCTAGCTCAACAATTGTTTTAAGAAGCTTGTAAAAGTAAAATGAAACTACAGCTAGTATCATGTTCCTGTCTAACCCGAGTGTTTCTGAGATATTATTTGTACTAAACCAAAAGATGCCGCTCTTAACGGTATAGTTAATGATAAAGCGATTTAAAAAATGAAACGAACGTAATTTCTAAATCTGCTGTAATAACCAAGAAGCTTAATTTCACTGCTATTGAAAATCGTCAACAATAATTTTTTTACGGCTGTAATAGTTGATAGATTTGTAGAGAATTGCACATGCCATGGCTATTTATAGTATCATACTGTCAGAAAGTTGGCCTTGACACGGCGAATGTGCACGCTTCAGTGGTAGTCTCGAACTATCAGCGGTGGACTGTATTTCTGTAGGTGCGTGGGCCACCCTAGCTTAAGTTAAGAATTTACTCAAAATTGATCTCCTTATTTTAACTAGTTCTTTATAAAACTTGTGTTGTTTTAATGTAGCAAATACATCTATACGAAACTATGTGCAAAGATATTTCTCATAAACAGTGATTGAAAGTTGAGTAAATTCTTAAACTAAGTCTGAGAATGTTGTGTGAACTCAGGGGGCCAAATCCCACAAATTTTACCTCTCAGACAGTGAAAAGGTTGAATTCTTAAATTTTTGTATGTTTTTGCGGATAAGGCACCGGATTTATGAATTAGTCTCAACAAATGATGTACTTTGTGTTTATGATTCTCTTGACCAACAATCTTGTTTACAAGTTGGTCTAGACACTGGCTGATAAAACAACTCGAGCACTAATAATAGTATGATTCTATGAACCGGAGATACAAGTCATTAACATCCAGTCAACATGTAACATATTACAAGCGATAATAGTCATTAACATCCAGTTAACATGTAACATATTACAAGAGATAATAGTCATTAACATCCAGTTAACATGTAACATATTACAGGAGATACTAGTCATTAACATCCAGTCAACATGTAACATATTACAGGAGATAATAGTCATTAACATCCAGTTAACATGTAACATATTACAGGAGATAATAGTCATTAACATCCAGTCAATTCGTAGTGCTCATCAAATATTTACATTCCAATAATTTTTACGGTTATTCATACCGATTTTTTACTATTTATTAAAAGAATCTAATCTGTTGTTGTGCATCCCATCATGTATTTACTACTTATTTACGAATATTTACATTTCAATAATTTTTACGGCTAATTTCATACCGATTTTTTACCATTCAAATATTTACTACTATAAATTTATTGAAATCAACTTTTTTTCAAATATAAATAAACAAACAGAATATATTGAAAAGGATTTACAGTATCGCATATTCGAGTAACATTTGAATGATGACTTAGAATATTCAAACATTAAATTCAGCATTCAAACTGACCACTACAACGGAACATATCTAAAATCATTTTTAACAATTCGCATGACTTTCACTTTCTTTGTCACCATGTATGAAAAAAGAAAATCTCAGAAATGAACGTCAATATTTTTTTTTTTTAGTTTATTCATCCTCTGCCTTATCATCTTCATTTTCATCATCATCGTCATCATCTACATCATCCTCATCGTCATCATCACCAGCCACTTCAGCATTCTGGAGTTCCAATTGTTCTAATTGTTTAGCCAGTTCAAATTCTTCCCAGTCAGATACAACTCGAGGCTGAAGAAAAAAACAAAACCAAAACGTGTGTCAATTTATTGAAATGCTAAATGAAATGGGGTTTAACGTCCTACCGTTCTGCTCCTTTACTGGGCCAATGAAGACGGGCATACGCCATACAATGTGCTATGAGAGAAATTTTGCCCGGACAGCGGCACTATGGCTTACTCTTATATCGAATTCCAACTGCCAAATGTAGGGATTGAACACCTGACCTTCAGGCTAGCAAGCCAGCGCCTTACCCACTTAGCCACCATGACCCTGTTTCTTGTTCTACTGTTTTGCTCCTACTGGGCTAATGAAGATGAGTGCACATCATCATACAGTGTACTATGAGGGAAATTTTGCCCGGGCATCGGCACTATGGCCTACTCTTATTTCGAACTCCAACTGCCAAGGGATCTTTTACGTGCACACCAATGAATACACAGGAACTCGGTTTTCCGTCCCATCTGAGAGAGGGGTTCAACGTCCTCTCCACACAAACTAGGTCATCTCGGGACTAACATATTTTTCAATTTCATTTCAATAATTTGCTTGTGTCTGTAGGGGTCTTTAGCAGTGGGAGGTAACCCTACTCCTTGTCACAAACAACTGGGGAATCGAAACCAGAAATGAAATGAAATGGAGTTTAACGTCCTACTGTTCTGCTCCCAACCTGGGCTAATGAAGACGGGCATACGCCATACAGTGTGCTATGAGGGAAATTTTGCCCGGACAGCGGCACTACGGCCTACTCTTATATCGAATTCCAACTGTCAAGGGATCTTTTACGTGCACGCCAATGTGTACACGGGACCTCGGTTTTTCGTCCCATCAGAACGACTAGACAGCTTTCCTTGTCAGCCCCTCCGTCCTGCATCACTGACAAGGGAGAACCACGCCGGAAAATCTGGATGAACTTTCTCGGCCAATGCAGGGATCGAACACCCGACCTCCAGGCTAGCGAGCTAGCGTCTTACCCACTTAGCCACGTGATCCCCGAATCGAAACCAAGTCAGTGAACTCAATGAGAGACCTTATCATACAACACGCTAACCATCCGAAAATATAAATAAACTTACCGGTTGTTGTACACTGTATACACCTTTATCAGCTTCTATACTTTCTTTTATAGATAATATAGCTTTATTTAATACTTCTAATCCTTCTGTTCTCTCTAACGTCTGGGTTGTTACTACATATAATGGTGGAGCAATTAAATTTATCTACAAACAAACAAAAAAAATATGTTTAAAATTGTAAGAACGACCCGAATTGACAGAGAGAGAGAGAGAGAAATGGGGTTAAACGTCCACTCGACACAACCTATTTCAATTATTTGCTTGCGCGTAGGGGTCTTCAGCAGTGGAAGGAAACCACAAGGTTGAACAGGTGACCCTACTACTTGTCACGTACAAACGGGAAATCGAAATCATGCCAGTTGACACAATGACACCCCACCAGTTGACAGAATTGCAATCGAGTGACAAAGAATTTAGTCCTGTCCCAGTTCTGTCAGTTCCGACTACGGAGGCGGTGTGAGTAGAATCGTTGATCGAGATTTTTTGTTATGCAGTTGACACATGCACTGTATACCAAAATCCACCTTTTCACTCAACTGTCACTATTTTGGGGAACGTTTAATCGTGTATCCCCTCAGTATCTAATGAGCCCCAACCCATACTATCCAAAGAGTTCAAACTGTTAATTTTGCAATATTATTCAACAATTTACAGTTGGGTAGATTGGCATACATGGATGAAGTATCTTATCTAAGGACACAGAATCTGATACACAATTCATGTCTCAAATTCTTCTTAAATGGCTTTGGTATGGTCACGTGTCCAATGAAAATGAAAACAACTGACTGAATCTTAGTGTTGGTCGTAAGATGCACTGTACTGTCCCTGAGTGTCTATAGCAATACAGAATTCACTGAATATGAAAACAAAATCATTAAAAGGGAGACAATCTGTACAATGCCTGGATGGAGATTTTTGCCCTGAAAGTGATGTTTCCACAATTTAATAGAATTTAATCAGTCAAAATGGGATTTAACGTCCTACTGTTATGCTCCGACTGGGGTAATGAAGACGGGCATATGCCATAGAATGTGCTATGAGCGAAATTTTCCCCAGGCAGTGGCACTATGGCCTACTCTTATATTGAATTTCAACTGCCAAGGGATCTGTTATGTGCATACCAATGTGTACACAGGACTCGGTTTTTCATTCCATCTGAATAACTAGACAGCTGTCCTCGTCAGACACCACTGACAAGGGGAAACCACATCTGAAAATCACGATGAACTACACCCCATCTGTATAACTAGGCAACAATTTATTTGTGTCATAAAGATATCTTGAACAGTTTAAGAAATACTTGGACGAACAGAGCCAATTTTATATCCCTCCCTTAACTTTTTTGATGATAGAAAATAAAATCGATCCTTAAAAAAACCACACATACTTTGATTGGTAATGATTCTGTGGTAAATTCAAGTCCTTTTTTCAAAGCCCTTTTAACGGCATCAACGCCTTCATAATTAGTACAAGCTACTTCGATATCAGCTCGTATTTTAACTTGTTGTGGTGTTAATCTTCGCTTGATATTCTCCAATAAAACAGCCCGCGTTCTTTCATCAATATCGCATTCATCCAGTGTTTCAGGATTCCTGTAATAGAAAAACAAATAATGTCACAAAGATCTCAACAGACAAACAAATAATTTAAATCTATGAACATCCTTTGCAGGATTTGGAATCATTTGTAATCTGAACTATTGGAAAAGTTGAGTCTCTGAAATGAAATAGGGTTTAACGTCCTACTGTTCTGCTCCGACTGGGTTAAAGAAGATGGACACGCCATACAGTGTACTATGAGGGAAATTTTGCCCGGATTGCGGCACTACGGCCTACTCTTATATCGAATTCCAACTGTCAAGGGATCTTTTACGTGCACGCCAATGTGTACACGGGGCCTCTGTTTTTCGTCTCATCCGAATGACTAGACAGCTGTCCTTGTCAGGCCCTCCGTCCTGCATCACTGACAAGGGGGAACCACGCCGGAAAATCTGGATGAACTTTCTCGGCCAATGCAGGGATCGAACACCCGACCTCCAGGCTAGCGAGCCAGCGCCTTACCCACTTAGCCACCGTGGATCCCCTCAGAACAATAGAACGTTAAACCCCATTTCATTTCATTTTCCTTGCAAAGCAGCCTCCATCCTACATCACTGACATGGGGAAATCGTGCTAAAAAAATGGTTTTGTGTGGGGCACACAGTGGTGTGTTTTTTGTAGGAACTAATTTTGACATAAGACTTTGAGTAGATTGTTTCAGAGCCTTGATACAATACACTGTAACCACGGTATCGTTGTCAGGGGATTTAGAGGAGTTAAATATCGACTAGGACTTTTGGTAGATCTGATTAAAACACAGATCCTATTTCGTTTTTACTTGTCTTTACTACACTAGGATCTGGAAGAGTTGTTATATAACCCACGTTCTGGATGATGTGAGGGATTAGCCAATGAAACGGTCTGTTGCAGCTAGTTCTTGGCGTGAGGTGCACGGAACTGTGCGTAACCCACTAGAAACATCAACGCTGATTGGTTAATCAAATATCGGACGTCATAGGGTCCTTTGACACAATCTTCCAATACAACCAGTCAGATCTTTATGTAGTGTAGGCCATCGAAAGTATAAAAAACGAAAACGAAATATAGATCTGTATCTTAATCAGATTGGACATTCGGTAGATTGTTCTAGAGCCATGACACAATACTTACAATACAGAATGTTTAAACATTTCATACGCAATACCAGGTTTCTTGTAAACATCATCAAAATGCCAGGCTGTTTTCATGTGGAGATTCTCTAATTCTTCATTTGATTCATATTCTAGAACTTCTGCAACATGTCGTAATATACTGCTAACCTGAAAATATAGTCATATTATAGAGAGAGCAATAGGAGAGAGAGAGAGAGAGAGAGAGAGAGAGCGAGAAGGGGGGGGGGGTACAAGTTAACCTCCACTCCACACAACATATGGTTCAATTTTATTTCATTAATTCATTTGCATGTAGGGGTCTTATAGCAGTGAAAGGAAACTGGAGAACTCTGAGAAGGCGCACAAGGTTGGACATGTGACCCTACTCCTTGTCACGTACAAGTGGGGAATCGAAACCATGCCACTTGACTCAATGACAGACCTTATGATGCAACGCGCATGCATTAACCAGCCCCCCCCCCCCTATTCATAATCAAATAAACAATACTCCTAGTGAATACATCTGTCATTGGATACTGGTATACGTTATGCAGAGTGCTATGAAATTTTACCAGGATTGTCTGGTTAGCAAGCAAGAGCCTTACCCACTGAGCTATCAGACAGAGATATCCATCATAGGTTGTCATGGTTTCCACTCAAAGGGAGGTAATCAGTGATTGGTGAGAAAGAAAACTGAATTCTACTTACAGCTTTAGCTTTGGCGTATTTTTCTTCACATTTAACAACTTCTTCTTGTGAAACTCTTCTTTTAGATAAATCAATATAACCTGTTAATATAGAATCACATCATTACATGTAGATAAATCAATATAACCTGTTAATATAGAATCACAGCATTACATGTAGATAAATCAAATCAATGGAGAGAGAGAGAAATGGGGTTTAACGTCCACTCGACACAAACTAGGTCATTTCGGGACTAACATATGGTTTAATTTTATTTCAATAATTCGCTTGCGCGTAGGGGTCTTTAGCAGTGGGAGGAAACCGGAGGACCCGGAGAAAACCCACTAGGATGGACAGGCGACCCTACTCCTTGACACGTACAACCGGGGATTCGAAACCACGCCAGTCGACTCAATGACAGACTTTATGATACAGCGCGCGCACGCTAACCATTCAGCAGTCCAACCCCCCCTCAATTAAATGGGAATGTAGTGAAAATGAATACAAACTATCAAATCCATTAAAGATACATTATGGGAGATTAGAAAACGAGCTGGCAGTTCTCACTATAATAGTTAAAAACTAGAAAATGTGAAGGGAATATGATGAAAATTTCAGTCAAATTGATCCACTCTGAACTGAGATTTTAGCGATTGTATTTTGGGCCTAGTCTTGATCATCATTACTAAAGTCGGTACGATAAAATACATAGTCTTGATTATCCATTTCACCGACTAGCAATGACATCGAGAGTTGATTAAGGTCTGGATAAATTAATTAATGGCAAATAATTTAGATAACATTTCATGCCTACCGAAAGACCTGCAATTGGCAGATTTAGCTCTTGAGTAATGCATGTTTAAATGGAATCTAGGGGCCGGCTGTAAGCGTCCACTGCAGTGTAGTGAAGATGAAAACAAACTATCAAATTAAGTATAATGGATAAAGGGGTCAGCTGTAAGCATCCACTGCACAATCCAGGCCTGTAGTGAAATAAGGTTTCAGTTAAAATGATAACAACTGACTGAATCTAGGGGTTGGCCGTAAGATGCACTGTACGTACAGCCCCTGAGTGTCCATAGTGATACAGACTTCACTCAAAATGAAAACAAACTCATTAAAAGGGAGACAATCCATGGGAAAGACTTTGTTAAGAAAAGATAACTCTTGCTACAAACCTTTTTCTTTATCAACTCTGATGACGACACATTCACTCAGAATGAAAACAAACTCATTAAAAGGGAGACAATCCATGAAAACAAAAAGACTTTGTGAAGAAAAGACAACTCTTCATACAAACCTTTTTCTTTATCAACTCTGATGACAACGACACATTCACTTCTACCAACTCGGATTAATTTATTGATGGACCTGATACGTCGTCGGGATAATTCACTGAGTAAGATCATGCCTTCGATGTTGTTATACTCCAACAAATGAACGTAGGCCCCCATCTCTGCTATAGAACGTACAGTCACCATGACAACATCTTCTATTTCTGGAAAACGGTTCTTGTAAAATCTACAAGACAACTTCATCTTGATAGTTTAACCTGAAAGAAGTGAATAAGGGAAATACATGTAAAAGATGATATTACTGTCGTAATAATACAAGATGTGAACTGACCGGTACATGTAAGTCCTACATCAATACACAAAATATGAATACATGAAATGAAATGGGGTTTAACGTTCTTCTCTGACAGGGCTTATGAAGATGAACATGCGAGAGAGAGAAAGAGAGAGAGAGAGAGAGAAATGGGGTTTAAGGTCCACTCGACACAGACTAGGTCATTTTGGGACTAACATATGGTTTTAATTTTATTTACATAATTCGCTTGCGCGTAGGGGTCTTTAGCAGTGGGAGGAAACCGGAGGACCCGGAGAAAACCCACGAGGTTGGACAGGCGACCCTACTCCTTGCCACGTACAACCGGGGATTCGAAACCACGCCAGTCGACTCAATGACAGACTTTATGATACAGCGCGCGCACGCTAACCATTCAGCCATCCAACCCCCCACCATGAACATGCAGTGTGCTAGGAGCGCTCCGAACTGGGCTAATGGAGACGGGAATACACCATACAGTGTGCTATGAGGGGAATTTTGCCCTGGACAACGGCACTATGGCCTACTCTTATATCGAATTCCAACTGTCAAGGGATCTTTTACGTGCACACCAATATGAACTTTCTCGGTCAACACTGGGATCAGACACTCAGCCACCGGCTAAATCACTATTCTTTGGCACCTAAAAATTGACACAAATGGGTTGCAACTCATATAATATGAATGTATATAAACAGATTTACATTCGATCGTTTCTGTTTTTATTGTAATTTCTAATTGACTGGCACTCTTTGCCGTCTGGTTATTCGAGTCTACATCAGTAGTATTCTCATGTGGGATATTTTTAGCCTCATTCATCAAATCGCTTCTTTACAAATGTTACTCGAAATCATTCTGTCACGTGATTACTATTAGCGCCATAGGCGCTCTATAAATAAATTATTATTATTATTATTACGGTAGTCGTTTATAAATAAATATAAACTGAGAAACAAATAAAAAACGACTGTTTAGGTTTTAACCCGTTAAGCTTGACGTTTTTAAAACGTTAACTACCCCCTACTGTGTAATTAATTTGACGAAGTGACGAAGAACTATGTACTATGTTCTAAGAATAGGTTAGGGAAAATACCTCCAAGGCGTTATATTACGCCCTACACACAGTGAGTGGCAGTTGTCCAAGATGTAATATAACGTCCTACACATGCTGCTATTGTGGGGGAATTCCCAAGGGATTCTCCCAAGTGACGAACATATGTTCTAAGAATAGGTTGGGGAAAATACCTCCAAGGCGTTATATTACGCCCTACACACAGGGCAGTTGTCCAGGACGTTATACATAACGACCTACGTACTTAACGGGTTAACAAAATGAACTTTTGATACCATGTGCTACAATAATTCACATAACCATACTGCACAAGGTACATGTACTGAATTGAACAGCAAAAAAACAAGCCCTCAAATGCACTTCCTATGCAGTGGCTATTTTAAATATTTACCACCTTGATGGCGAATAACCTAGTGAGGCGAGCAGATTTGTAAACAGGCCCCAGGCCTTAATCTCAACCCTAATAAAGATTTTATTATTAATATTTGACAATGGAAATTACCACGCCACGTTCAGTAATGAGAAAGACAAAGAAACCTCCATTTTATGTACATATGGAAGTCAGATACATGTAGAAAGCTAAATATTCTAGGGTAGCGAATCACGTCTTACCAGCAGGGTGGTGAATATCTTCTACCCTTTCTATGACTGAGTGTTTTAATATTATTTATTATACATATTAACTGGGGTATTCATTGACAGACTGCCAATCAAATCAATACATCATCAGTTTCACTCAATTCCTATTCATAAAACTGGGTACCGAGTATGAAATTGTATGGCTGCCATACCTAACAGGTACTCAAATGCCCTTTTCATAGTGGCCATGCACTTATTTGGTAATAGACAGCATGTTCTTGTATGCATATTATTAATTAGCGGCCTATTATTCATTGACAGATTGCTTTTAAATGCAACCGAAAACATTGACCGGTCGCCGGTAACTGGGCCGTTGACGATTACATTTCCATGTATGGATCAAAATATCCGCCAGAATTTAATACAAAGAGGTTTTACAGATTATTTATCTTGGGAATAATTCATTATTTTGTTTTAAATTGTGATCAAAACTCACCACAATTTATTTCACGTGTTCTGATGCAATTTTCAATGTTCCTACTTTTCGGTAGCGTTAAATTTGTAACCGGAAAAAAGGAAAGAACTGTTTCATTAATGGCGGTCAGTTAAGATATATTTTTTCTTATCTGTTCCTACAAGACTGTTGTTTTAATCACATCTAAACAGGTATTGTTGACCTTTTTATTTTCACGTATCGTGTAACTTTATATTTTGATAGTCTTTTATTGATTTCGTTTCGGGTTATTCGTGTAGAAATGAATGTGCGAATTTAGAATTTTCTCAACACAAGGGAAGTAACTCGTTTTAGCTTCAAATGGGTTCAGACCACCGATTTAATGTTTCATCACTAAGGTGTAGAGACGAACTAAGCTGCAGCTCACAGCAATGCCCGATTGCCCATAAAATTTTAGATCGTCACCAAATCTGTGTAATGTCAACATTAATATCATAGTACGTCAGTCAGATATAATCCCACAAAATGGTCGAATTGCTGGATTTGTGTTGAAAGCATGAAAATTTGGCACATAATGCAATCTGATTAAAACACAGATCCGATTTCGTTTGTTTTTTTATAGTTCAAAATTTCGTTTTACTTATCTTTACTATACTTCATGCAGTGGAGGTCATCGAATGTAAAAAGAACGAAACGAAATATAGATCTGTATTTTAATCAGTTTTCACACAATATAGCTGACCTTTCGACAAATATAGATTTCGCCATGATGTGATCAATATATAACTGCTTAAACATACATTATGCAATAGGTAAATATGTCCATTACAGATCTTTCTTTAGGCCTGAAATATTATCTAAATTATTAATTAGACATTAAAGGGCCAATCCCGATAATATTTTGGAGAATGAAACTGCTTAATTTTGTGTTAAAATCCCTTAAAATCCCCTACCTAAGAGCCGAGCAACTAACTCAATATTTGTCATACGTTTTCAAACAAATTAAACCCGCCAGTCTTCATCTGGAAATGGAGACCAGTGTCCAAACTGTATTATGCGGTGTCTGGATAAAACCAGACTTTTATTTTATAAAAATAATGTTTAGGTGAAATTTACCCTTCGTTATGAAGTACGGCACACGAGTCATTCACTGTATAGACCTCTAAAGAAACGGGAATCGATTATCAGGTCGCCCAACGAAAAAACTGACCCGAAATCTTAAAAGGGTTACGTGTCCGGATAAGCATTTTTTACTTTCACGTCAAAACGACTCAATATTTTGAGCTGAAATTTTGAGATAAGGTAAATACACCATTTCTCCATATTTGGGTGCTTAAATTTCAGACGTACTCGGACTTTTTTTTTTGAGACTCTGTTCAAATTGGGATAGTCCCTTTAATTAACTTATCCAGACCATAATCAACTCTAGATGGCATCGCTAGCCTGCGATCTTAAGTGGATTATGAGCCGATTTACTGCATAACTTTCTTTCTCGATTAAACGATTAAATGGATAATCGAGACTATGCTGTTTATCGTACTGACTTTAGTAATGATGACCGAGGCTAGGCAGAAATGTCATTCGCTTAGTTCTCGGTTCATATTGGATCAATATGAATGAAATTTTCAGCAAATTGCCTTTACGTTATCTAGTTTTTTACTATTATAGTGAGAACTGCCAACTCGTTATCGAATCTTCTAAATTTTATTCGGCCAGTTTTGCTATTATATGATATAAAGCCTAAAATGTGTGTGTATGTGTGTGTGTGTGTGTGTGAGAGAGAGAGAGAGAGAGAGAGAGAGAGAGAGGGGGGGAGAGGAGAGAGAAAGATGGGGTTTAACGCCCACTCGACACAGACTAGGTCATTTCGGGACTAACGTATGGTTCAAATTTATTTCCGGAGGACGCGGCGAAAACCCACAAGGTTGGACAGGCGACCCCTGGAAGGCGACCCTCCTCCTTGTCACATACAACCGGTGAATCGAAACCACGCCAGTTGACTCAATAGCAGACCTTAAGATACAGCGCGCTCGCGCTAACCATTCGCCCCCCCCCCCCCAACTGAAATTTTGCATAAATAGACCTACACATTTTAATAACAATATACGATATCGCGATGTAGTCCAAAGTAAAATTGTTATTTAAAAAAGGATGTAGACCACTAACATCTTAGAAAATGGTGTGAAATCAAATTCCCAGAAAATTTCTTAGATCGATTCTGACATGAAAATACAAATTTTAATACGAAAACTCAATAAATATGGTAAAAGTGTAGTGATTTTAAGTTAAAACCGGGCATACGTCATGCAGTTTGCCAGGACAGTGCTCCCGTCAAAACCTAGTAACTCACTTTTTTCTTATTTTGAGAAAACAAAGAAAAACGTAATGAATGAATATTAAACCCCAGCTTACCCATTGATCTGACTATTGAGTTACTATTGATCTGACTAGGTTTTGCTGTGGTATACTAGGCAAATGAAGGAAGTTGTTAGGTTGTGTCATGGGTGTAACTGCTTACAAAATCAAAAGATTGGAATATCTAGTACAACAACAGGAAGCACATACCCTAGTAACTACAAATTTGGTCCTAACTCAATTTTGATAAAAAAAAAAAGTGAGTTACTAGGTTTTGCCTTTTGACGGGAGAGTGGCAAAACGGTTTTCCCCCTTAATGAATTCAAACTTTCATGACTTCTTTAACGTGCATCCGGTATCGATATTTCGCTCCATACAACCGATTAGAGACGGGACCTTGAACCACTGACAAGGTCAGACCCCGCTGAGAAATCCCGGGGAATTTTCACGACCAATCCCGGATCTTACTTGAAGTTTTGAAGCAACGCCAAACTCATATGCACTTAAATATACTTTCCTTCGTACAAATTGTGTGATTTGATGATATATTTGAACTAAAAACATATTCAAACTAATTAATCTATCAAAAATGTGCTTCAAATCCCACTCAAAACTTTGTATTCGTGGGGAGATACCTCAAGCTATAAATAAACTGTTGTTAGAAGCCATGCCTGTCACCACACTTCATTGAGGATGGGTCCATATTTCAGAATATATTTTTCATTACTTACTGTCCACCGATTCCCCCCCCCCCCCCACACACACCACTGCTAAAGACACCTACACGTGATCGGATTATTGAAATGTTAGTCCCGAAATACTTTCGGTCAAGTGGATGTTAAGCCCCCCCCCCTCTCTCTCTCTCTCCCCCGATTTCCCCACCACCACCACCACCACTGCTAAAGACACCTACACGTGAGCGGATTATTGAAATAAAATTGAACCATATGTTAGTCCCGAAATACTTTCGGTCAAGTGGATGTTAAGCCCCTCCCCCGCCCTCTCTCTCTCTCTCTCTCTCTCTCCACCCGATAAATACTTTCGGGACAATGTATCTTAAAAAAACATTAAAAATAAATCATCAGAAATTAGTCATGTGATTATCTTTTGTTTATCTATTTGATCTGTAATTTAGATTGTCATCGGGTACAAATGAGATAAAAACAAAGCAACAATCAGCTATAGGTTGACACTGGGATCGGACACTCAGCCACCGGCTAAATCACTATTCTTTGGCACCTAAAAATTGACACAAATGGGTTGCAACTCATATAATATGAATGTATATAAACAGATTTACATTCGATCGTTTCTGTTTTTATTGTAATTTCTAATTGACTGGCACTCTTTGCCGTCTGGTTATTCGAGTCTACATCAGTAGTATTCTCATGTGGGATATTTTTAGCCTCATTCATCAAATCGCTTCTTTACAAATGTTACTCGAAATCATTCTGTCACGTGATTACTATTAGCGCCATAGGCGCTCTATAAATAAATTATTATTATTATTATTACGGTAGTCGTTTATAAATAAATATAAACTGAGAAACAAATAAAAAACGACTGTTTAGGTTTTAACCCGTTAAGCTTGACGTTTTTAAAACGTTAACTACCCCCTACTGTGTAATTAATTTGACGAAGTGACGAAGAACTATGTACTATGTTCTAAGAATAGGTTAGGGAAAATACCTCCAAGGCGTTATATTACGCCCTACACACAGTGAGTGGCAGTTGTCCAAGATGTAATATAACGTCCTACACATGCTGCGATTGTGGGGGAATTCCCAAGGGATTCTCCCAAGTGACGAACATATGTTCTAAGAATAGGTTGGGGAAAATACCTCAAAGGCGTTATATTACGCCCTACACACAGGGCAGTTGTCCAGGACGTTATACATAACGACCTACGTACTTAACGGGTTAACAAAATGAACTTTTGATACCATGTGCTACAATAATTCACATAACCATACTGCACAAGGTACATGTACTGAATTGAACAGCAAAAAAACAAGCCCTCAAATGCACTTCCTATGCAGTGGCTATTTTAAATATTTACCACCTTGATGGCGAATAACCTAGTGAGGCGAGCAGATTTGTAAACAGGCCCCAGGCCTTAATCTCAACCCTAATAAAGATTTTATTATTAATATTTGACAATGGAAATTACCACGCCACGTTCAGTAATGAGAAAGACAAAGAAACCTCCATTTTATGTACATATGGAAGTCAGATACATGTAGAAAGCTAAATATTCTAGGGTAGCGAATCACGTCTTACCAGCAGGGTGGTGAATATCTTCTACCCTTTCTATGACTGAGTGTTTTAATATTATTTATTATACATATTAACTGGGGTATTCATTGACAGACTGCCAATCAAATCAATACATCATCAGTTTCACTCAATTCCTATTCATAAAACTGCGTACCGAGTATGAAATTGTATGGCTGCCATACCTAACCAGTACTCAAATGCCCTTTTGATAGTGGCCATGCACTTATTTGGTAATAGACAGCATGTTCTTGTATGCATATTATTAATTAGCGGCCTATTATTCATTGACAGATTGCTTGTATTTGTAAATGCAACCGAAAACATTGACCGGTCGCCGGTAACTGGGCCGTTGACGATTATATTTCCATGTATGGATCAAAATATCCGCCAGAATTTAATACAAAGAGGTTTTAGATATTATTTGTCTTGGGAATAATTCATTATTTTGTTTTAAATCGTGATCAAAACTCACCACAATTTATTTCACGTGTTC